ACACACACACACACACACACACACACACACACACACACACACACACACACACACACATTTATTTATTTATTTTTTTCCGGAATTTTCAGAAAAGTCCACTTTCATCTCTGATTCTGTTACATTACCATCGTCAAACATTCCGAAGTGTATAAGACATTTTGACTCCCTTCATGTTTGATTCAACCATTACTTTGTCTTGTAAAAGCACGCTAGCCTAATGCTAACACACAGTTGAAAAACGCATAGACGAGCTAATGGAACTAGCGTTGCTGTTCCGTTAGCTTGGGATATTTGAACACAAGGAACACAAAATACAACAACACTTAAAGGCATATATTCCTTATCCTCTGCACAAAATATTGAATTTCATTGTAAGGAAGTGGAGTTGTGACCGGCTTCCACATGTCTGTCTTGTTTCTGTATTATACTGCCCCTTAGTGGCCAAGGTGCGCAACATCCATTGGATTGAGTTTTGATCTTTATATCTATCTATAGGTATAGATAGATATAGATGTGGATATAAATCTAAATCCCTTTGTTTGTTTGTGTTTCAGGGCGCGGTGCAGATGGGCCACGTCAAGGTGCCACCGGGCTACCACCCGCTGGACGTGGAGAAGGAGTGGGGTCGCCTGCACGTTGCCATTCTGGAGCGGGAGCGCCTGCTGAGGACCGAGTTCGAGAGGCGAGTTGCCCATCTTATCCAAAGCACAAAACAATACATGCATTAACATTCATATTTAAAAAAAAAAAAAAAGTCATGAGATGCATAGCACAGTGTGACCACCGGGATGACTCATTTCCACTTTGGCAAGAAAATGAAGAGGAACCGCATGATTGCTGCAGGCAGAGCAATAATCCAACAAAAAAACGCGGTCACTTGCACAAAACAGTTGCATAAAGAATCACAAGTTGAGCAGGCAGTCGGCTCACTCGTTTTACTTCTTCAATCGTCTCGCTCACGCTGCATCAAACGTATCTTGGCTTGAGCTTCGCAGGCGTCCGTCATGGCTTTTATGCATCAGGGATACGATTTCAAGTTTTTAATCCGACGTAGGACAGAGTGAGCGCTCGTCTGTTTTGTCTCGTCTTTGTCCGACCTTTGAACGTTAACCTTTTTTCCGCATGGCAGGCTGGAGCGTCTTCAGAGAATCGTCGGCAAGGTGCAGATGGAGTCGGGCATGTGCGAGGAGCAACTCAACCAGGCGGAGGCGCTGTTGCAAACGGTGAGGGAAATCAAGTACGAGGAAAATTCTGCACAGACACAATCCAACAATTAAATGTAAGAAAATGCTGTCAAACGTTCGTAGAACTACAGTAAAAACTAAATTATAAAAATGAATATTCAAGAAAGATATTTAATCAAATAAAAGGTTCCAAAATAAATGTATTGAATGTAATTGTACTAAATGTAGTTGCATTTAATAACATTGAAATGTACATAATAAATGTTAATTTCGTGTGATAAAATAAAATCTAAATCGGGTGTAATTAAATCAAATCATGGACTAAATAAATTTACACTGTACTAAATTCAGTGTTTGAAAATAAAATAAAATAAAATATTGAATTAAAATTCGAAATAAATAACTAATAAATGTCAATAAATCGATGTAAAAAAGCACCACAAAATCTCCTTCAAACTTGCAAAAGTGGCTCTGACGACACGTGACTTTTGTCATGTTGCAGGACGTGCGGCTCCTGAACTCGGGCAAACCCGCCCAGCACACAGCCGAGGTGGAGGCGGACCTGGAAAAGGCGGAGGGCATGATTCGCTTCCTTTTCAACGACGTGCAGACACTTAAAGACGGGCGCCACCTTCAGGCCGAACAGATGTACCGCAGGTATTAAAAAAATCAATCCTGTATATTGGTCACCTCGTGACATAAAAGCAGAAGTCATTTTAAACTTACTCTGACAATACCGACCAAAAAATGCAGATTCGATTTCATAGATGAATTAATCCAACTAATTATTCACAAAATCTCCACATGATTTTCTTCCAGAGTGTACCGCCTGCACGAGCGACTGGTGAACCTGCGCAGCGAATACACCCTGCGCCTCAAGTCGGGCGTGAGCGTGGCGCAGGTGCCTACGGTGCAGGTGCCCCTGACGCAGGTGCACACGTCGCAGGTCCTCCAGCAGGCCCCCGTGAGGCTGCGTCCCGAGCTGGATGAGGCGACGCTGCGCTACGTCCAGGACCTGCTGGGCTGGGTCGAGGAGAACCAGCGGCGCGTGGACCAGGGCGAGTGGGGTGTCGACCTGCCCGCCGTCGAGTCGCACCTGGGTAGCCACCGCGGCCTGCACCTCTCTGTGGAGGAGTTCCGCTCCAAGCTGGAGCGGGCCAAGGCCGACGAGGTGCGCGTCTTCCTCCTCCTCTTGCTTCTTTTTCGCCCGCATGTGCGCAGCGTTTAATGTTGAACTCTCGGCTGCAGAGTCAGATCTCACCTGTGAGTAAGGCGGCCTACAGAGACTACCTGACCCAACTGGACCAACAGTATGGGAAGCTCCTGGTGAGTCAGTATCATGCCTTACAGTACCTTAACCCTGGAGAACCCACGGGGTCTAATTTGGCCCCTATAAATTCTGCTACTCAAATGCTCCCAAAGGGTCAAATTTGGCCCTAAATCCTAAATTAGGATTAAAGCATTGAATTTGAAAAAACATATTTCGGTGTTCAGTGAACATGTAGCAGTCATTTAAAGTGCCTGGGTCAAAATGACCCGCAACATCATATTTGTATTCAAACTGTGCACAGACATCCCACTACACATCAGAGTGTCCAGATTTTACACACCAGTTCATGACCCTAGATGAGCAAAAGTCAAAGGATATCCAGTGCTTTGGTCAACGCAAAAACTGAAATGGGTCAAATTAACCCGTAACATAATACGGGTTAATGTATAATTCATCCTTTGCCAAAGAAGAAAAGGGTTCTTGGGTTTTCCAGGGTTAAACTGACTGTCTCCCCTCCCCAGGAATCTACAGAGAAAAAAAAAAGCTAATCCAGGTCTTGCCCCAACATTGTTTTGACCAAATATTTCACCTTCTGCGCTCAGAACTCGTCCAAGTCTCGCCTCCGCAACCTGGAGCAGCTGCACGCCTTTGTGACGGCCGCCACCAAGGAGCTGATGTGGCTCAACGAGAAAGAGGAGGAGGAGGTCAACTACGACTGGAGTGAGCGCAACACCAACATGGCGGCCAAGAAGGACAACTACTCGGTAATTAAAAAAAAAAAAAAAAATCACCTTTTTGAAATGATTTCCAATGGCATTTCAACCGGGTTGTGTTGACCTTTTATATTCACTGTCCATACAGTACAATGACAGACCTGAAAGTGTCCTTGCTGCATTTCCAGGGTCTGATGCGGGAGCTGGAGCTACGGGAGAAAAAGATGAGCACCGTGCAGGTGACGGGAGACAAGCTGCTGAGAGACGGACACCCCGGCAGGAAGACCATCGAAGTAAGTACCTCGCCCCAGACGGCTACACCCCCTGAAATGAATACCACGGTGACGTTTGCACGCGGCCGTCATGGTCGTCCCCTCCGCAGTCCTTCACCGCCGCCCTGCAGACTCAGTGGAGCTGGATCCTCCAGCTGTGCTGCTGCATCGAAAGCCACCTGAAGGAAAACACCGCCTACTTCCAGGTGGGTCCAACACCTCGGAATCTATTTGGTCGTCCGTTTTTTTACATTAACGGTAGTAACCGCAATTGGTCAAACAGTTTACTGTCAAAAAATAAAATAAATAAATCACAGTTTTACATAGATGCTTAGGATTTGAAAATATATTGTGGTAAATTATTCATTTAGAAGTCTGGATACAAAATGAATTGGGGAAAAAAATGTGAATGAGCCGGCCTGTCCGTTTTGAAAATTAAATGTATGTCTTCCCTCATGTTTATTTATGTGGAAACTCCAAACAAAGAGGTCAATGATTTAATACTGTTTGTTTAAAGACGTGGAGCACATTTTTGTGTTTCTGTGTGTGATGTCATGTCACTTTGTGCTCGTGCGTGTGTTATTTCGGCTCGTACTGTCTCCTGATTGATACTATTGACAAGCCTCATGTGAAGTTAGTTTGTTTGCGTTAACTAACAGATGCAGTCATTGATGGTAACCTGCGTTCATGACTATTTACATGCTCGAAGCACGGTGTTGATGCTTTATGATCCTCTTCTTTTGAAGTCTGAAATGTCGGATTACCGCGTTTTCCGGACTAAAAGGCGCACCTTCAATGAATGGCCTATTTTGTCTTTTTTTTAATATATATTGGACGCACCGCATTATAAGACGCAATCTACAATGCATCCACTTGATGGTGCTACGATCAAGGAGATGCCAACGGAACCCTACACTACACGACACCCTGATTTATATAGCGACGATCAGACTTCCGTAAAACTTCTTTAATAAAGCAGCGACACAGTTCACTTAACCAACAGCAAGTTATAACATTGACTCGTTTACGTTGAACTCTCTTGCTGCTGCTCGATTTCCGTGTTCAACTGCGAAACCGATCGCCTTAAGTTTGAACCCTGCGTTGTAAGCATGTCTCGAGCATGGAGCCATTTTGGGGTTGACATATTACCGCATGAGGCGCATCGGATTTTAAGGCGCGCTGTGAGCGTTGAAGGAAATGGAAGGCTTTTAGGTGCGCCTTTTCGTGCGGAAAATACCGTACCCAGTTTTCCTGAACCACAGACTTTCTGTCTTTGCAGTTCTTTGCCGACGTAAAAGAGGCCGAGGACAAGCTGAAGAAAATGCAGGACACCATGAAGAGGAAGTACACGTGCGACCGCTCCGTCACCGTGACCAGGCTGGAGGACCTCCTGCAGGATGCCGCTGTGCGTCATTATTAAAAAAAACAACAAAAAAAAAACAACTCTATTTCCTCAGACTGCGCATGAGTTTTTATGCTGTTGCTGGTCGGTGTCCAGGATGAGAAAGAGCAGCTGGCCGAGTTCCAAACTCACGTGGAAGGTCTGAAGCGGCGATCCAAGAACGTGGTGCAGCTGAAGCCGCGCAACCCGGCCACCGCCATCAAGAGCAAGCTGCCCATCCAGGCGGTTTGCGACTTCAAGCAAATGGAGGTAATCGCTCTTGAGTGTCCCAGCGTTGTATGTTGTTGTTCTGTGTCACGCTATGTCCGAATGTGTCCCTGGATGTCGTATTTCTCAATATGTCAACTCAGTATGTTTTCCAGTGTGTGCTCGTGAGTTCACCTGAGGGCATGTCCCAACGTGCAATTACCGCCGATAAAGCAGCAGATAGCGCTGATGGCTCATGTTGCCTTCTTCCAGATCACGGTGCACCGCGGAGATGAGTGCGCCCTGCTCAACAACTCCCAGCCGTACAAGTGGCGAGTGCTCAACCGCCAAGGCAGCGAGGCAACGGTGCCGTCCATCTGCTTCCTGGTGCCGCCCACCAACAAGGACGCAGTCAACAGCGTCGCCGGGTGAGGACGCCGGGGCGTTGCCGAGGCAACCTTTCAACTCCGGTGACCACTGACCCGTGCTGTCTGTTGTTCTCAGGCTGGATGGGAACCTGCAGAAGCTGCAGACAATGTGGCAGAGCTTGTTTGTGGACCTGAGGAGCCTCCTCTCTTGGCAGTACCTCATGCGAGACATCCATATCATCAAGACTTGGAACATCTCCATGGTAACACCGACATTTCTATCAGAGAAGGTCCATGCCTCCCGAAAGGAAATTCGATTTTGGGGGATGCGCTAGAGCCTATCCCAGCTGTCTTTGGGCAGTACGCGGGGGACACCCTGAACTGGTTGCCAGCCAATCGCACGACACTCATCAACAAAAAAACGTTCAAGCTTAATATCTTACCTCAGGACAGTCTACAGCACGGGTGTCAAACTCAGTTTTGTCGAGGGCCACGTTGTAGTTACCGCTTCCCTTGGGGGAGGCTTTTATGACTGTGAAACCCGATCAATAAGTCAAGAATGATGGTTTATTCAACTATTGTTTAAGTAACTCCAATGAAAGGTTTGGTAACAAGAAAATATCTCACTTATTCATTACATATGAGAATTTAAAATTTTGGTCCAGATTTATCAAGCATGATGGAAGTTGACATGTTTGACTTGTTTTCGCGGGCCACATAAAATGATGTGGCGGGCCAGATCTGGCCCCCGGGCCTTGAGTTTGATACCTGTGGTTTAGAGCAGGGGTGTCAAACCCATTTTCGTCGCGGGCCACATTTTAGTTACCGTATCCCTTGGCGGCCATTATGACTGAAATCACATAAAAAAAGTCAAGAATAACTATTTATTCAACTATTGTTTAAGTTACTGTAATGAGGTGTTTGGCGACAAGAAATGCTTACAATATGTATACACATGAGAATTTGACATTTTGGTCCGTATTTTAGCAAGCATGATGGAAGTTGCCATGTTTGATTTACTTTCGCGGGCCGCATAAAAAGGTGTGGTGGGCCAGATTTGGCCCCCGGGCCTTGAGTTTGACACCTGCGGTCGAGAGAGTTCACTGAACCTACCATGCATATTTTTGGGAATGCGGGAGGAAACTGGACTATCCGGAGAAATCCCACACAGCCACGAGGAGAACACACACACACACACACACACACACACACACACACACACACACACACACACACACACACACACACACACACCTCTGTAATGTGAGCCCATCAGTTTATTCACGTCACATACGGTCAGTGGATCAGTGGGGCAGTGACAGCAACCTGTCAACTGAAGCTGCTCCCCTTCGAGTGTCGAATGTCGATGAGGTTCAAGGTCCTTTCAAATGCCGCGCCGTGGTCGAGACTCATGAGGTTTCTCTTTGTCAGTTCAAGACCCTGACGGTGGAGGAGTACCGGCTGGCCCTGAGGAACCTGGAGCAGCACTACCAGGACTTCCTGAGGGACAGCCAGGATTCGCAAGCTTTCGGGGCCGAGGACCGCATGCAGGTGGAGTCTCGCTACAATAAGGCGAACCAGCACTACAACACGCTGGTCAGCACCGCGGAACAAGGTGAGTGTGTCTTCTCATTTCCTTACCTAGGGCTGCATTTTTTTTTTTCGCAAAGTATTTTCAACTCATTCTTTATTTATTATTTTAAGACCATAAGCTCATTAATCAATCGCATTGTTCACGATTGATGAATAAGTTGACTGTCGGCTTCAAATTACAGGCTACGTGCCGCCAAAGACGGGTAAGGTGCCTGACGACATCCAAGTGTCACCCTGTGTGTGCCAGTGTGTTGTGTGTTCTGGTGTCTCCCATCGTGTCCGAGTGTGTCTCAGTGTGTCCTGGTGTGTTGTTGTCCGACGCAGTCTGTGTTCCTGTGTGGGGCTGTATGTGCCAGGATGCCCCCATGTGCACAGTTAGTGTGTTGTGATTGCCGTGGCAGGACTTTGCACTGTCCAATTTCCCTAAATTAACCTCACCAATCATCATCATCATCATCATCATCTTCACTGATTAATTTTTTTTCTCCTAACCGACACTCGTCATGGCTTTGAATGTCAACGGACCTCAATGCGGAGGCCCGTCTAATCACGCATGAAGTCAATTGACGATTCATTGGCTGAATCTCTCACGTGATTGAACTTGAATGAAGGGCATGTTTTAATCCCGCTCAGACGATGAAAAGCGGATTTGACGGATGGATGGTAAGTGCCTCTGCCCGGTTTTCTCCTCCCACCAGGAGAGCAGGATGAGTCAGTGTGCAGGATTTACCTGAACAAGCTCAAGGACCTCCGCCTGAGGCTGGAGGGCTGCGAGAACCGAACAGTGACACGACTTCACCAGCTGGCTGACAAAGACCCGCTCAAAGCCTGCGCCCAGAAGACCACCGAACAGATGGTGAAAATCCCAAACGGAGACGTGATTGATGTTCTTGTCATGATTCTTTCAACAATTCTCATTCCTGCTGGCAGAAAGTCCAAACCGAGCTGGAAGGCCTGCAGAAAGAACTGAACTCAATCGCAGAGAAAGCCGAGGAGGTTCTTGCCTCGCCTCAGCCGTCCAGCTCCGGCCCCTTGCTGCGCTCCGAACTGGACGGCAGCCAGAAGAAGATGGAGCACGTCTACGCCCTCTCGTCCATCTATCTGAACAAGTAAGGGGTCCCTCAAGTTTACATTTTCGACACATCATCCTGATGCTAACGTTCTTTTCCTCAGGCTGAAGGCAATTGACGTGGTGATCAGGAACACCAATGACGCAGAAGAGACTCTGAAGAGCTACGAGACTCGTCTGCTGGACGTCCACAGAGTCCCCACTGAGGAGAAGGCGGCGGAGAAGCAGCAGAGCCAGATTAAGGTATGAACTAGATCACGGGTGTCAAAGTCAAGGCCCGGGGGCCAGATCCGGCCCGCCATGTCATTTTATGTGGCCCGCGAAAGCAAATCATCTGTCAACTTCCATGATCCTTGCTTAAATCTGTGCCAAAATCTCAAATTGTCATACGTAATAAAGAACGGTAACATTTTGCAAAAATGCATTACCTTATTTACACTCACTGGAGCAATAATTGAACAAATACTTGACTGATTTCAAAACTAGTGAGCCATCATTTTTTTGTGTACAAGTAATAATACGATGTGATGATTCAACATTTATTCGGCTTCACTGTCGTAACGAGTCGAAATGAATTTGACACCCCTGAACTAGACTTTGGAAAACTCGAACTACGGTCAGAAGTCCAAATAAGCGGCGGTGTTATCTTGAGCTTTAATTCTGATGAATCCTCTCCAACAGAAAATGCAAACGGAATCTGAAGCAGACCAGGCTGTGTTCGACCGCATGCAGGACCAGCTCAAGCAAGCGTCGGCCGTCCACGACAAGATGACACGCGTCCGCAGCGAGCGCGACGCTGAGTTGGAGCACTACCGCCAGCTGGTGGCCGGCCTGCAGGAACGCTGGCAGGCGGTGCTGGCTCAACTGGAGATCCGAAAGCAGGAGCTGGAGCTGCTCCGACGCCATATGGGCAGCTACCGGGACAGCTACGAGTGGCTCATGCGCTGGCTGGCAGATGCCAGGCAGCGCCAGGAGGCAATCCAGGCGCTACCCGTTGGGGACGGAGCCGCACTTCAGGAGCAACTAGCTGAGGAGAAGGTATTTCACATGCATTCACTGGACGAGTTGACTCATAATTAGAAATAATTATGAGTAACCGTGTTTATGTCTTGATTCACGCAGAAACTCCTGGATGAGATCGAGAAGAACAAGGGCAAGATCGACAAGTGCCAGAAAAATGCCAAAGACTACATTGACTCCGTTAAGGTGTGTGTGTGTGTGTGCCTCTGTGCGAGTGTGTATGGAGATAGGTGGTGTGTGTAATCACGAGGGGCCTTGCAACATGGCTGAAATTGAATATCTCTACTTTTGCCTTATACCTTGCTAACGATATGATATTATTTGATTTTTTTTTTAAGAAAAAAAAATCTGATATTATTATTATTAGATTTTTTTTAAGAAAAAAAATCAAACTAAAAGCATCCGTTTGGATTTTTTTTTTTAATTATTATTATTAGAACTTACTGATAGCCATCAATAAATAGAAAGCAACAAATTACAAAGAATTCAAATTCATATTCGACTGCAACTGTGCTCCAATGATGGAATAATTTCACGCGACAACAGAAGTGTCGCGTTTGCGCGCGTGCTTTAACTGCACCGTCGTGTACCAGTTTGTCCATGCACGACCCAGTGAAACATCTCACGTTTGTCCTTTTAGGATTACGAGCTTCAGCTCTTGACCTACAAAGCCCTGCAGGATCCCCCTGCCTCACCACTGAAGAAGCCCAAAATGGAGTGCGCTTCGGACGACATCATCCAAGAGGCAGGTTTTCACGGGCAAGATGGTGCTGACCAATTGAAATAAACCGAAATCGTTTAACCCTGTCTCTGCTTTGCCATCACACGCAGTACGTCGCGCTGAGAACCCGCTACAGCGAGCTCTTGACGCTTGTCAGCCAGTACATAAAGTTCATCACGGACGCGCGCCGTCGTCTGGAGGAAGATGAGGTAACCACTTCCCCTGAACAGCATTCTTGAACAACTAATTTCATAGTTTGGTCAAAATTGAAGCATGACATATCTTTTTGTCAAATACAAATATCACAGAACTGTTAAAAATGCACAAAACATCAACCATATAAAATTGGGGCCTGTTTTGCACACAAAAAAAAAATAAAAAATCCAAGCCAGAGTTAAGCGGAATCTACAGCCATTGAACTGTCACATTGCATCACATCACAACTTTCTCATTCCCTCTGCATCATGTCACATAAACTCCTCACTCACTGCCTCTGCACCTATTTTAGCTTTGGATTTTTCCTCTTTATTTGCTCTTGAAATGTTCCAATTCGTATCACTCACCGGCTTGTTTCTTCTTCTTTTTTTTTTTTTTTTTGCTTTACTTGCCTGCTCAGAACTTGTTTCCTAGACCACTTTAATTTTCAACGGATGTTTTTATGACTTTTTTTTAAAATCCTCATTTCTTTTTTGTATTGCTTGCCGGCGCTTTGTCACGATGAATACTCATCTTAAGAGGGCAGTTAACCCCAAAGATGAAGCAGGTACTTATCTGAAAATATCTGTGCATTGCCAAAGGGGGAAGGTTCAGGATTTAAACGCTCAATTAAGCTGACACGTTATTTCACATTTGATTGGTTATTGCCCGCTCATCTAATACTGCCAGTAATGTGAATGCTGAGCCTTCCTTTGAGTTGTCAATCCAATGTCTGTCCAATCATTTGTCTAGTTGAACGTGAAAACAAAGGAAACCCTTACATTGTCTTGTGGATGGATTTACATCACAGCCCTTTGTTGTAGTTGCCATTTAATATCATTTTGCCTCGCAAACTCATTAATGGCACTTTTTCAAAAGTCCTATGACCATGGATCAGCAAACAAGCAACATACTCTGCACACTTGCGAAAATCATCTAGTTTATTATGCCTTCTGTCCAGCATATATGAATACGAAACCCCAAATAGTGCATGAAAACAAGTGCATTTGTGTTTTTTTTTGTGGAGTGACTGTGTCTTCCGTCAGACAAAAAAAATATCTTCTCATGCTGCCATTTTTGTATCAGTTTTCAAATAGCCGCCTAACCCCATCACCTACTGTTTGCTCACGCAGGAAGCGTCTGAGAAGCTGAAAGAAGCTGAGCGAAAGAGGCTGGCTGAGATCCAGGCCGAGTTGGACAAACAGAGGCAGCTGGCCGAGGCTCACGCTCAGTCGGTGGCCAAGGCACAGCAAGAGGCTGACGCTCTCAAGCAGAAGATGAAAGAGGAGGCCGGGAAGCGACAGGATGTCGCTGTGAATGCCGAGAAGCAGAAGCAGAACATCCAGCAGGAACTGCAACAGCTCAAGAGTCTGTCGGACCAGGAGATCAAGACAAAGAACCTTCAGTTGGAGGAGGCTCTGATAAATCGGACGAGGATTGAGGAGGAGATACGCATCATCCGACTCCAGCTGGAGACGACCACCAGGCAGAAGAGCACAGCTGATGAGGAGCTGCAGCAGCTTCGCAACCGAGCCGCCGATGCCGACAAGCTGCGTAAAGCTGCTCAGGAGGAGGCCGAGAGGCTTCGCAAGCAGGTGGCCGAGGAGACCCAGAAAAAGAAGAACGCGGAAGACGAGCTGAAGCGCAAAGCCGAGACGGAGAGGGAAGCCTCCAAGCAGAAGCAGAAGGCCCTGGACGAACTGGAGAAGTTCAAGATGCAAGCGGAGGAAGCCGAGCGGCGCATGAAACAGGCAGAGGAGGAGAAACTCCGGCAGGTCAAGGTGGTGGAGGAGGTCGCGCAGAAGAGTGCTGCCGCCCAGTTGCAGAGCACCTCCAAAACCTTCAACGAAAGAGCGACCAAACTTGAGGAGTCCCTCAAGAGAGAGCAGGGCACCGTCCTCCAGTTGCAGGAGGAAGCTGAGAAACTCCGCAAGCAGCAAGAGGAGGCCAGCAAAGCTCGGGAACAGGCAGAGAAGGAGCTGGAAACGTGGAGGCAAAAGGCCAATGAGGCTCTCCGCTTGAGGCTGCAAGCTGAGGAGGAGGCCCAGAGGAAGACTCAGGCGCAAGAGGAGGCAGAGAGGCAGAAATTGGAGGCTGAACGTGACGCCAAGAAGAAGGCAAAGGCTGAAGAGGCCGCGCTTAAACAGAAGGAGAGTGCCGAGAAAGAGCTGGACAAGCAAAGGACTTTCGCCGAGCAGATCGCCCAACAGAAGCTGTCAGCCGAGCAAGAATGCATCCGCCTAAAAGCTGACTTTGAACACGCCGAGCAACAGAGGAGCCTCCTGGACAACGAGCTCCACCGTCTAAAGAACGAAGTGAACACTGCTGAAAACCAGAGAAAGAAGTTGGAGGAGGAGCTGGCCAAGGTACGAAGTGAAATGGATGCCCTTCTCCAGCTGAAGATGAAAGCTGAGAAGGAAACACTGTCCACCACGGAAAAGACCAAGCAGCTTCTCGACTCGGAAGTCCTAAAAATGAAGCAACTTGCAGACGAAGCGACCAGACTGAGGTCTGTGGCCGAGGAGGCCAAGAAGCAGAGGCAGCTCGCTGAGGAGGAGGCGGCCAAACAGCGAGCTGAAGCCGAGAAAATCCTTAAGGAGAAACTTGCCGCCATCAATGAGGCGACCCGTTTCAAGACGGAAGCCGAGATCACCCTGAAGGCCAAAGAGGCCGAGAACGAAAGGCTGAAAAGACAAGCCGAGGATGAAGCCTACCAAAGAAAACTGCTGGAGGATCAGGCAGCTCAGCACAAACAAGACATTACGGAAAAAATGCAGCATCTGCAGAGCTCATCCAACTCTGAATTGGAGCGACAGAAAACAATCATTGAGGAAACTCTCAGGCAAAGAAAAGTGGTGGAGGAGGAGATCCACATCATCAGGATCAACTTTGAGAAGGCCTCAAAGGACAAATCAGATTTAGAGAAAGAGTTAAAGAAACTGAAAGAGATTGCGGACGACACGCAAAAGAGCAAACTTAAAGCCGAGAAGGAAGCCGAGACGTTGAAGCAGCTCGCCGCGGACGAGGAGAAGAAGCGAAAGGAAGCTGAGGCGAAGGTTAAGAGCATCACGGCGGCGGAGGAAGAGGCGGCACGACAATGCAAAGCCGCTCAGGAGGAGGTGGAGCGTCTGAAAATAAAGGCAGCGGAAGCTAACAAGCAACGGGAAAAAGCGGAGAAAGACGCCAAGCAGCAGGTGGTTCTGGCCAAGGAGGCCGCACAGAAATGCAGCGCGGCCGAGCAAAAGGCTCAAGATGTCCTCAGCAAGAACAAAGAGGGCGATCTGGCTCAGGAGAAGCTCAAGGAGGACTTTGAGAATGCCAAAAAACTGGCACGAGAAGCTGAAAAGGCCAAAGAGAAAGCAGAGAAAGAGGCGGCGCTGCTCCGTCAGAAAGCTGAGGAGGCTGAGAAACAGAAAAAAGCTGCGGAGGATGAAGCCTCCAAGCAGGCCAAAGCTCAGAAAGATGCAGAGAAACTGAGGAAAGAGGCAGAGAAGGAGGCCTCCAAGCGAGCGGAAGCAGAGGCCGCTGCTCTCAAACAAAAGCAGCAGGCCGATGCCGAAATGAACAAGCACAAAAAGGATGCCGAGCAGGCGCTGAAGCAGAAGTCGCAGGTGGAGAAGGAGCTGTCGACTATCAAACTCCAGCTCGACAAAACCGACAAACAAAAGGCGGTTTTGGATGAGGAGCTCCAGCGGGTGAAGGGCGAGGTCAATGACGCCGTTAAACAGAAAACGCAGGTTGAGGATGAACTCTCCAAAGTCAGGATTCAGATGGAGGAGCTTCTAAAGCTTAAGATAGAAATTGAGAGCGAAAACAAGCGTCTCATGCAAAAGGACAAAGATAACACCAAGAAGTTGCTCGCAGATGAAGCCGAGAGGATGAAGATCCTGGCACAGGAAGCAGCCCGGCTTAGTGCAGAGGCAGAGGAAGCCGCCAAACTCCGAAAGACCGCCGAGTCCGACTTAGCCGAACAGAGGGCACTCGCGGAGAAAATGCTCAAGGAGAAAATGCAGGCCATCCAGGAGGCTACCAAGTTGAAAGCAGAGGCCGAAGACCTCCAGAGGCAGAAGGACAAGGCACAGGAGGCGGCCAAGAAGCTCCTGGAGGACAAACAGCAGATCCAGCAACGGCTGGACGAGGAGACCGAAGGCTTCCAGAAATCACTGGAGGCCGAACGAAAGAGGAAGCAAGAGGTGTCAGCCGAGGCAGAGAAGCTGAAGCTTAAGGTGAAGGAGCTCAGTGATGCTCACGCGAAAGCCCAGGAGGAGGCCAAGAAGTTCAAGAAGCTGGCAGATGAGGCCAAAGCTCGTCTGGAGGACTCGCAACAGAAAGCCACCGAGACTGTGGTGCAAAAGCTGGAAACTCAGCGGCTGCAAAGCACGAAAGAAGCCGACGACCTTAAGAAAGCCATCACTGACTTGGAAAAAGAGAGGGAGAAGCTGAAAAAAGAGGCCGTGGAGCTTCAGAAAAATTCCAAAGAGGTAATGTAACGAAAATAATCGATACTCCATCATGATGAAACAATGTTTTGACTCGCTCTTGTTTTCTAGATGGCCATTGCCCAGCAAGAAGAAATTGAGCAACAGAAGGCCATTCTTCAAAAGACCTTCCTCACCGAGAAAGAGCTGCTGTTGAAAAGAGAGCGCGAGGTGGTAGATGAGAAGACGAAGCTGGAAAAACAGCTCAAGGATGAAGTGATCCGAGCCAAGTCCCTCAAAGAGGAGCAAGAGCGTCAGCAAAAGCTGATGGAGGATGAGAGGAACAAGCTACAGGCCATCATGGATGACGCCTTGCGGAAGCAGAAGGAAGCTGAGACGGAGATGAAGAAGAAGCAGAAGGAAATGGAGGTGCTCGAAAAGAAAAAGAATGAACAAGAGAAACTGTTGGAAGAGGAGAACAAAAAACTGAGGGACAAACTGAACAATCTCGAGGTAGCATCCAAAGAAATCGCATCGAAAAGGAACGAAACTGAGGTCCAGACAGAGAAGGGCGCTGGGGAAGAGTTAGTCTCTGCCACAGTGTCGGTCACAACAAAGAAAGTTTACAATGGCTCAGATGTCGATGGCAAGAAGAAAGATTCACCTTGGGCTTTTGACGGAATAAGAGACCAAGTTCCTGCTGAGAGACTTCATGACATCGGTGTCCTGACCAAAAAAGAGTTTGACAAACTGAAGAAGGGTAAAGTCTCAGTGCAAGACCTGGCAAAGACAGACAAGATCCACTCTTGTCTTCAGGGTCAGAGCTGCATCGGTGGCATCTTGACTCCCTCAAAGGTGAAAGTGAGTGTCTATCAGGCCATGAAAGACAACACGATTACAGCCAATACCGCCACAATGCTGCTGGAAGCTCAGGCGGTTTCTGGCTACCTCATCGATCCTGTTAAAAACAAATTCCTCTCTGTGGATGAGGCTGTTAAAGAGCAGTTGATTGGCCCCGAACTCCATGACAAATTGCTGTCTGCTGAGCGAGCTGCCACAGGCTTCAAAGACCCTTACACGGGAGACAAAATCTCCCTTTTCGAGGCCATGAAGAAAGGTCTGATTGAGAAGGAACAGGCCACCAGGTTCCTGGATGTGCAGCTTACAACGGGCGGCATCATTGACCCCATCAACAGCCATAGAGTCTCCCTGCAAACAGCCTACAAGCAGGGGCAGTTTGACGCCGAGATGAATAAGCAAATGCCGGATCACAAGTTGTTTGTGGAACCAAGCACCCAGGAGGCCCTCACCTACAAGCAGCTACTGGACAAATGCACGAAGGACGCAGGGTCAGGCTTGATGATTCTACCTGTGACTGAAAAAGCAGGCCAAACTGAGAGAACCTACACAGATGCCGAGATGAAAGAAGTGTTCAGCAAGTCCAACGTGGATGTGCCCTTTGGCAGGTTCAAAGGAAAGACGGTCACCATTTGGGAAGTGATCAACTCTGAGTATTTCACAGAAGAGCAGCGACGAGAGCTGATACGCCAATACAAAACGGGCAAGATCACGGTGGAGAAGATAATCAAAATCGTTATCACTGTCGTGGAGGACAAGGAGAAGAACAATGAAAACGTGTTGAACGGACTCAGGGCTCCCGTGCCAGCCAGCGAACTTCTCGAGTCCAAGGTTATAAGCAAAGACATATTCAACAAGCTAAGCAATGGTAAAATCACTGTCAAAGAAATCGCGGAGATGGACCCTGTGAAGAAAGCGCTCCAAGGAACACCGAGCATTGCTGGACTGTATAACGAACCCACCAAGGAGAAAATGCCTTTCTATCAAGCCATGAAGAAAGAGCTGCTCTCAGCCGAGACGGCCATTAATCTTCTTGAGGCTCAAGCGGCTACTGGCTTCATAATTGATCCTGTCAAAAATGAGCGGATGCCTGTCGACGAAGCAGTCAAGTCGGGGTTGGTGGGTCCAGAACTCCACGAGCGACTGCTATCTGCAGAGCGAGCAGTCAGTGGCTACAGAGATCCTTATTCTGGCAAGAAGGTATCTCTGTTTGAAGCCTTAAATAAAGGTCTCATCAAGAGGGACCATGGCATTCGTCTGTTAGAAGCACAACTCTCCACGGGGGGAATTATTGACCCAGTTAAAAGCTACCGCGTCCCACACGAGGTTGCCTGCAAACGTGGCTATTTAGACGAGGAAACCAGCAAGACTGCAAATGAGACCAAGGTCTTCCCCGATCCCAACACACTGGAGTCAGCCACGTATGCGCAGTTGATGAAGAAATGCATCTCCGACAATGAAACTGGTCTTCCCTTGCTCCCCCTCTCAAAGAAGGCTCCAAAGCCCAAAGAGGATCAAGAGATTACAGAGGCCAAAACCAAAGAGGCTTTGAACCAAAGCACCGTGGAGCTGGACTATGGACCTTTTAAAGGCAGAAAGGTCACAATCTGGGAAATCATCACCTCCGAGTACATCACAGAGGAGAAAAGAATCGAACTGATTCGCCAGTACCGAATGGGCCATGTGACAATAGAAAAGTTGATAAAGGTTGTGATGACCATCATGGAGGAAAGAGAGACCCAGGCAAAAGAAAAACTCTGTTTTGAAGGTCTTAGGGAACCAGTTCCTGCCAGCGCGTTGATGGATGCCAATATCATTGACAAAGCCACATTTGATCAGCTCCAGCAAGGCACAAAGACTCCTCAGGAAGTGGGTCAAGACGATAAAGTCAGGAAGTATCTGCACGGCACAGAGCGTATTGACGCCATTGCAATGGAAGCCACAAACGAAAAGCTGAGCATATATCAAGCTATGAAAAATAACATTCTGCAGCCGAATACTGGCCTTGCGCTGCTTGAAGCCCAAGCTGGAACTGGCTTCATAACAGACCCAGTAAAAAACATGAAATATTCCGTGGATGATGCCGTCAAGGCCGGAACTGTTGGTCCGGAGCTTCACGAGAAACTTCTCTCTGCCGAAAAAGCAGTGACGGGATACAAAGATCCATACACGGGCAATAAGATTTCTCTGTTCCAAGCGCTGAAGAAAGAGCTGGTGCTGAGGGAGCATGCCATTCCTCTTCTGGAGGCTCAGCTTAACACAGGAGGCATCATTGATCCCGTCGGGAGCCATCGCATTCCCACTGATGTTGCTGTTCAGCGTGGCTATTTAAGTAAACAAATGGTCAAATCGTTGAACGAACCCTCAGGCGACGTCCAGTGCTTCACCAACCCCAACACCAATGAAAGTCTCACATACAAGCAGCTTCTGGAGAAATGTGTCAAAGATCCCAACTCAGGTCTGTGCTACTTGCCGCTGTCCAAAGCTGAAGTGGCTCCTCCCGCTGAGAAGTCCTACGAGTACACCGAGGAGCAAGCCCAGGCAGATCTAGCAAGCACTCAAATTGATATCCCGCTCAAGAGCTTTGAAGGCAAGAGCATGACCATTTGGGAAATCATGAACTCCAACATACTTCCCGAAGAGGAGAGACGCCGCCTCATGGAGCAGTTTCGCTTGGGAACAATCACAAAAGAGAGAATGCTCATCATCATCATTGAAATCGTTGAGCAAAGGGAGGCCGAAAAGGCTCAACAGGGCATGTCGTGTGACATCATCAGAAGGAGAATTACAATCGAGGAGCTGTACAGTGCTCGAATTATAGACCTGCAGACTTACAACCTTTTGAAGCAAGAAAAAATGACCATCAGTGAGATCATGGCAATGCCATCAGTGAAACAGTACCTTTTTGGAACTGGGTGCATTGCTGGCATTATGTCAGACACTCCCAGCAAAGTCAGCATCTATCAAGCCATGAAAAACGGGAAGATTAAGCCCGAAGTTGCTCTGACGCTTCTCGAGGCCCAAGCAGCAACTGGCTTTATCATCGATCCGGTGAAAGATGAACTTCTCACAGTGGATGAAGCAGTGCGCAAGGGGCTCGTGGGGCCTGAACTTCACGACAAACTTCTGTCTGCCGAGAGAGCCGTGACAGGCTACAAAGATCCATACACCGGAAAAGTGATTTCTCTTTTCCAGGCAATGAAGAAAGACCTGGTTCCTGAAGATTATGCTTTGAGGCTTCTGGAAGCGCAAAATGCCACCGGGGGGTTAATGGATCCCGAATACTACTTCCGCCTGCCTGCGGACGTTGCCATGCAGCGTGGGTACATCAACAAAGAGACACTGGACAGAATATCCGAGCCGGCCGCCGATGTGCAAGGTTACACCGACCCCACGACAGATGAGAACCTGTCATATTCTCAGCTCCTGAAAAGATGTCGGCTGGACAAACAGAGTGGACTGAAGCTGCTTTCTCTAGCGGACAGGAGACTTCTCTTCAAGGGTCTCAGGAAGCAAATCACTGTGGATGAGCTGCTTCGTTCTCAGATTATTGACCAAAAGATGTACAATGAACTCACTCAGGGCACCATCAGTGTGGAGGAGGTCAGCAGGGACCTGAAGAAGTACCTCGAAGGCGTCAGCTGCATTGCCGGTGTCTTTGTAGAATCTACCAAAGACCGCTTGTCTATCTACCAAGCCATGAAGAAGAACATGATCAGACCAGGAACTGCCTTTGAGCTTCTTGAGGCCCAGGCTGCGACGGGGTACGTTATCGACCCCATCAAAAATCTGAAACTGAATGTCAACGAAGCCGTTAAGATGGGTGTTGTGGGTCTGGAGTTTAAAGACAAACTGCTGTCAGCTGAGCGAGCAGTCACGGGCTACAGGGATCCCTATTCTGGCAAGGTCATCTCATTGTTCCAGGCCATGAAGAAGGACCTGATCTTGAAAGACCACGGCATCCGCCTGCTAGAAGCTCAGATCGCCACGGGGGGAATCATTGACCCACAGGAGAGCCATCGCCTGCCAGTGGAAGCGGCGTATGAACGTGGTCTCTTTGACGAAGAAATGAACCAAATTCTCACCGACCCGTCTGACGACACTAAGGGCTTCTTTGACCCTAACACAGAGGAAAACCTCACTTACCTCCAGCTCATGGAGAGATGCATGACGGACCCTCAAACAGGGCTCGCGCTCCTGTTGCTGAAGGAAAAGAAACGGGAAAGGAAGACCTCCTCCAAGTCATCTGTTCGTAAACGCAGAGTTGTTATCGTTGATCCAGAAACGGGCAAGGAGATGTCAGTGTATGAGGCCTACCAGAAAGGACTCATTGACCACCAGACGTATTTAGAGCTAGCAGAGCAGGAGTGCGAATGGGAGGAAATAACCAGCACCTCGTCTGATGGAGTTGTAAAATCCAAGATCATTGATAGGAGGTCCGGACGACAGTACGACATCGATGACGCCATCTCAAGCGGCCTGATTGAGAAGTCGGCGTTGGACCAGTACCGTTCTGGAACTCTATCTATCACGGAGTTTGCAGACATGCTATCTGGAAATTCCAGTGGCGTGAGATCAAGGTCATCCTCCTTTGGATCCACTTCCTCTTACACCTCAAGTCCGATGTCTAGCATAAAAACACCGTCTGTCCCGTGGAATGACCCCACCGAGGAAATTGGCCCCGTAGCTGGAATCTTGGACACGGAAACGCTGGAGAAGGTGTCTGTCACTGAGGCCATTCACAGAAACCTAGTGGACAACATAACCGGTCAGAGGCTGATGGAAGCTCAGGCCTGCACTGGAGGAATCATTGACCCAAACACTGGTGAAAAATTCTCCGTCACAGATGCATTGAACAAAGGACTTGTGGACAAGATCATGGTGGACCGCATTAGCCTTGCACAGAAGGCTTGCAATGGATATGAGGACCCTCGAACCAAAACTAAAATGTCAGCTGCTCAAGCCCTCAAGAAAGGCTGGTTGTACTACGAGGCCGGCCAGCGGTTCCTGGAAGTCCAATATCTGACTGGTGGTTTAATTGAACCAGACGTCACCGGGCGAGTCTCTCTGGACGATGCCTTGAAGAAAGGCACCTTGGATGCTCGCACCGCACAGAAGCTCCGTGACGTCAGCGCCCACTCCAAGTACCTCACATGCCCCAAAACCAAACTCAAGATCTCCTACAAGGATGCTTTGGACAGAAGCATGATTGAGGACGGTACTGGCCTCAGGCTTCTGGAGGCATCCTCCCAGTCCACCAAAGGCCTCTACAGTCCCTACAGCATCAGCGGCTCAGGCTCGGCAACCGGCTCACGTTCGGGCTCCAGATCCGGTTCCAGGTCCGGCTCCAGAAGAGGAAGCTTTGATGCAACTGGATCCAGTTTCACCACCACCTTCTCTTCGTCTTCATCCTCCTACAGTTCGCCGAGTTATGGGCGACGATATTGAGGATCAACTGTAAAGCCACTGAGATGCCTGTCAGTGAACTGAAGACTACACAGTTTCTGCTCTGCATGTGGTCGTTGCAAGACATTAGATGTTTAATTTTGTACTGCGTAGACTTCTTTGTGTATCTATATACCTTTACCTATGTACATTTTGTTGTATCGTTTAATCACTGTAATAGACAGGAAATTAGCTTTGAGTGTTAACACTACAACCGAAAGAACATACTCTTTGATCGTCGTCTGTCGAGCCTTCTGAATATGGAGCGTATTTCTCAAAAATGAATATATTGAAAGCTCAAGGCCACTCTGCAGAGCAGAATCCGAAGTCTCGTAACGATCGCTGACATTAAGAATGTCTCTCAACACTAAGCTTCAAGATCTTTGTCCTCGATCATGTTGCTCCACACCTACTAAACTACAGCCAGGCCATATTCCCGTCATCTGGAATAAAACATGGACTCAATGGGAATCACCAAAGGGCACATTCCCATGCACTGGTAGACCACCAATACATCAATCTGACTTTATAGACTCTTGACACCAAAGTAACCCAAATAGTCGCTGCTTGTCCGGACCCCGCCGACTGGTACGTGAGGACACAATAGTTAGCAATGTCTTGCCCGCTTGTCCTGATGTCCCGTCTTCTCCTTTATAGATACCGTGCTCCGCTTCTTCCCAGAGACCTTCACCTGGACTTTCACTGTAGCCGGAATTTATGAAAAAAGTCACTCTCGCGACTAACCTTGAGCTCAGTTGATGTTAGAAACCCATCAAGTGCCTGCAAAAAAAACAAAAAAATACGTGGCTGATGCATATTTTGAAGATGGTGCTGCGGTTTATTGACACCTGCATGACTGGCCGAGCAGGAAGCAATCAGGTTTATCTCACAATCCACAAACACTCATGAATGTTAATATTGACATGACTGTATGTACTGTATAACCACGACTGCTGGAAGCCATTAACAGATTCTTAGTTTTTCAGCTTTTTAATTTTTTTTTTTTTTGGGACGCCACCAGCCACAGTGTTTATTTTTCGATGTGAAAGCAACACCTAATTATCTTGCCTATATCCTTTTATTTTCCTACACACTATATTTGAGTTGCATGATTTACTAACATTTAAAAAAAAAAAAAAAACCAAAACCGCCCCCCCATCCCCCCAATTATCCGAGCCGCTTATCCTCACGAGGGTCGTTGTACCCTTTAAATCATTTGTTGTGTTATTATGATGATGATGATGATGATGCACCAAAGGGGTTAAAAGGATATATTTTAATGCGTGGTGTATTTATAATTTTTAAAAAAAAACGGAATCAAGTTGTAACACCCTCGCTATGTAAATAAAGGACATGAAAAGCTTATGACTCTGTGACCATTACTCATCAGACTTAAAAATATGATATATCAAAAAAAAAAAAAAAAAAAAAAGGAAGGGTTGTTGACGCCCCATTCACATGTCCTTACCACCCTCTTCTTCTTGGCAAAAACGGCGTAAAGGTTATTGGCCTGCAATTTTTGTCCAGAAATCAGGACTTTGGGGGGCGGGGGGGAGGTGTCGCAGGGGGTTAGTGAGCCCCGGATGTTAAACATCACATTCTGGTCACGGCTTCTTACACGGAGGTGACATCCTAAAAATATGACAACTTTGAAATTGGACAACCCACCACAGAGCACAACCGTAAAACGGGGAAAAGACACATTTGATGGCCAGGATGAAAGGGGTTTGGTAATTTGACTCTTGGGTGTATCCAAAGAAGCCAAGGACAACCTATAATAAGACATCAGGGGGGGAAGAATTGTAATAGCAAAAAGTGGGCCATGTGCAGGTGGTGAATCATTGTCCAAATTGGAATTTTTGCTTCTTGCAGAGATCAACCTAATACCATTCTAGAGGAGCAGTCTGTCAATTTTTCATGTCACTCCATGGGGAGAAAAAAAAAAAAAAAAAAAGTGACCCCAATGTAATTACATGTTGAGCTCTTGGACGGTGGCAAGTGCTTTTAACACAAGGTGTTAAACTTGACACTGTGGTGGCTGCTCCTTTGCAAACAGATTTAATCTCTGTTGAAAGCCGGAAATTTCCCGGTTTGACTTCAACCTCCCATCCTGATATCGAGGCCAGAGATAAAACCAGTGCAAAAGGGGAGTTTAAACGCGGGTGAGTATCCAACCCTTTTTCTTTTTCTTAATTTTCCAATAAATAACACATAAATGGCAAAGATTAGGCTGTGCAGGATTGTAAGAGCAAAGATTAAGGATGTGCAGGAAGCAGATATCCATCCAAATTGGGATTGGCCTTGCCAGAGGTCTGATTAACTCTCGTTGACTTCCCTGTCAATCATCGAGTCACTACTTTTGTTTTGAAGTGTTTGTGTGGGGAAATAACAAGTGCTACGAGGAGCCAGATACAATACGCAACAAATCCGTGTCTCGTGTTTAGCATTCAGTTGAGATGTCTTGACAAGCACTGAGATGCGAACTACTCTGTCAAGCAAGACTTCCCCCCCCCCCCCACCACACCCTCCCCGTCTTAAACTGGGTGCGCCTGTGATTGCCCAAACATTAAAAACCTGCCTAGTGCAGTCACAGCGTGATGGCATGCGTTTAAAACGACTTGGTTTTGTGTTGCGGTGAAATGTGTGGGCGAGTTGTCGACCTGACATGACTCGAGTCTTTCGATGGCGAATGTGTGTTTGAGTGCCTGAAGAATCTTTTAAAGAGTGAGTGGGTCAGCCTCTGCGGTTTCTTGGAGTTTTAGTGTACAAACAGAAGCAGGATTAAGCCCAGAGCAAGATTCATCTTAAAAACACACACACGAGCTGAAGATTTGAGGCAAAATAGCAGGCTGATGTTAGACAGACTTGAAAATTGGGTGCGGTCCCTGACAGCAGTGGACAATGTCGGAACGCCGCTGCTAACATTCCTAGCCAGGGAAAGTTAGGAATGGGGTGGAATCCTGTAGGGCATGGGTCAGCAATTTCAAATATTCAAAGAACCGTACCGGCCGTTTAACACGATTAAAAAAAAAAAAGAAAAAAAACGTTTGATATAAAATTAGGATAACACCTTGGTTGAAGCTTACTTTCAAATAAAATAGTCTCACACACACACACACACGTGTATATACATATATATATAGAGAGAGAGAGAGTCTCATATATCCGTTGCCTTCATTTAGCTGTTGCTTATTAATGTAGTTTAATTTTCAAGTGTATAATCAAACATGCACATGAATTAAGTAGTGATGGTGAATTCATCTTGCCACTTTTTCCCCCCCCCACGGAACTCACAACTGCCACATTTGATGTGGAAAGTAAACACGCCGACAGTGTCTAGCCAAAAAAAAAAAAAACTCTCCCTGTATTCTGCGATTTCAATTTTACTATTGTGGATTTGCAGTAATCTTTTAATGTTTTCTGTTTGTTTTCTTTTTGCGGTTGTAAATGTGTTGGCTGTGATTTCAGGTGATCTCGTGTTTTGTTTGAGCCTGTTCCCACTTAAACCAGTGACCTTAAAAAAAAAAAAAAAAAAAAAACTCCCTGTGGATGCCACTCCTTTTCCTTTGTAGCAACATGACTTCATCATGAGGTAAATCCGATAAGTCGGCTTTCAATTCAAAATCGTACTCGCTTGTTAGTCAACCGGATTGATTGACGTCACCTCGGAGGAAGCGCTTTCTGACCCGCCATTTTACCCCTAAAAAAAAAGTTGCACCCTTGAGACTTATATCCACGTGTCATTCATTAGATCGCAAAATTACAAACGATTCCCGACAGAAGTGGGGTGGGCGAAAGAGCCGAGGAAGATGCTATCCAATAATATTTCACCATGAACGGTCTAAAATGTATTTGCTGTTAGCTGGTTGGCGCATACGCGTGGCAAACCATGAATGGTCAAAAAGGCTTTATTATCTCCCCCAAACACAAGGTAGGCTCATATTTATTTGCTGTTAGCTGGTTGGCGCATACGCGTGGCAAAGGAAGCTATGACAACAAACAATATGGCAACGTTTGACGTCGGGCGTCTAAAATGCCGTTACGACCTCCGCCATCAACAAGATGACAGCATTGACAACAGTCAACCTCCGCATACTTGCGGGAATCGCTCATTTGCATATTTGATCATCGTGTTTTGTTTTTTTGTAATTTTGTCCCCCTTTCCCATCATTTTTCATGTAAAAAAAGATCTTCAATGTTTGTCGTGTTTTAAGAATTTTAGGGTGTTAATTACAGAAACAACAAAGTTCCGTTATATTTTGTTGAGATCTAAGGACGTTAATTGTCTCCCTCTTTCGAATCCATTTGCTTTGTGGCCAAGTGGAGCTGTGACCTCCCCTTTTTGTAATTACTGCCACCTACAGTTCTGGAGTGGTACAGCATCCTCTTGAGTCGTTTTGCGCTTTCTCCGCTCACAACATTTTGCACTTTAAACTCCTCTTATCTCGGCACCTTAAATGTTTTGGCCATTAAAAAAAATTGTCATTGCATTGTTTAACTGAAGATCAAATCAATCTCGGTGCCGAGCACACACACGCACAAAACAATTGGCGCTTATCTTATCGGAATGCGACACCTACGCTAAAGTTCCTGCTTGCTCATGATGTAATGGAATCCAAGCGCGTTGACGTGAGGAAGGGCGAGTAAAAGTCCTAACTTGCCTGTCATTTAAAGCCGTTAAATTTCAGACCGTGCATCATCATCTTAGTAATGACTGCTTTGGTGATTTTTTTTTTTTTTAATTGTCCATGCGTAAAACTGCATCGTGTGTCTACATGTTCATGTGTATTTGTGCGCCTGTGTGCGTGGTTACCCATAACAGATAAGATTTCACATCTCCGCTGCTATGCTGTAAAACAACGTTGCCCAACCTTTGAGCCAAGGCACATATTTTATATTCGGAAAAAAAAAACAGGCTACTGAACTGGTGCTTGGCAAAAACGATATGACCTACATAAAAAAAAAATATATATGACCCTGTGAGTGTTACATTGCCTGTCTACATGCATTGCTCTACCATTTGTGTTCAGATGTCTGTTGAGTAAAGGGTTATAAGTACTGCAATGTTGCTAGATTCGTGAGCCCATCAGTGGCGCTTTGCATTGTTTGTTAGCATTAAGCTAAATCGGCAACGGGATGTGGTTGTTTTCAATAGACCTGTAATTCTCTTTTTTGGATGTTTAGTTGGAGAGTAAACTTGAACTAATGGACTGTACTCTTGCATTTGAGCGACAGAAACTCTCCACACTTTGCTTTTTAGCCACAGGTAAATAAGTAATTTGAGATCTAATCTGACAAGTGAAACTGGATATACAGCACTTTATTGGTGTGGCCTGATGGGATCTCACTTTCTACCCGGAACACATTTTTTGTTCTGATAGGTGCTGGTTTATATTAGTTTTGGATTTTTCATTCCAGTTAGTTTTTATTATTTATTTATTTATTTTATTATTATTTTATTTTATTTTATTTTATTTTTTAAATATACTTACTTTTAAGGACAATGTAAATCCAGCTTGGGGGAACCTGAAGTCCTCTAATTGTCGATCGAGGAATTTGAAGGAAGCAGGCACATGACTTTCTGTGAGTTTTAATTTTTTTGAAAATCCATTTTATTTTTATTTGATATAAAAAAAATTTAAAAATAGGGGGGCTGGGATTTTACTTATTTTGTTACTTTTTAACTCTAAAAAGTTTGTAAAGATCATGAGACGTGAAACGGTGTTTTTGATTGGGCACTCCATCTGCAACAAAAGTCGTTGCAGAACCCTGCACACTGCAAAGCAGTTAAGTCGCATCCGACTGCGTCGCTCAGTGGTTGGGAATCACCCGCAGTCGAAGCTCCACCGCAAGGTAAATCATCTACCCGTTATCTTCAAATCCAACTTTGACAGTTGACACGGTGTGTTCCTGTCATTTCAAAGCACACCTGTAGCACAATTACACCCCCCCGCCGTGGCTCTTATTGTTTCAGAGAACAATGGGGTCGCTCAAAGGAAGTCGAAAAGAATTCTCTCTGGTTCTCGACTGCCCCAAGGTCCTCCCCGGGAGGAGGAAGTTCCACAGAGGCGTAGGTGGGGGTGGGGCTTGGCCCACCGGGACTCTTCTTAAATCCGGCTGCCCCGGCTGGACTTCCGAGGGGATTTTGTGAGCACCTTGGGAATGTCTCTCTCACACCGGATGACATCGGCTGCTGACGTTGGACTTTGCGCACTCCAGACTACGGCAACAAGTGAGCATTTTTTTTTTCTTCTTCTCCTTGCCTTATCCCGTCCTGCCTCAATAGATAGAACGAACAGAAAGCGTAATTTAGTCAAAAGTGTGATTTGATTCGACTCAGCACTTGTCTAAAAAAAGTTTTAGTTTCTTTCCTGGCACTGATAGTGAAATGTCAATATCCTGCTTGGTGAGCCAACACACTCCCTGATTAAAAAAAAAGAAAAAGAAAAGAGAAAGAAAAACATTCCTCACGCAGTCGCCTTTCGCCTTGCTTGTACAAATGTCACTCGGAACTTCCTTAACATCTCACAAGTTTAGACTTGTGGACGCAAGGTAAGCAGCGCGACAGAAACTATGATTTCATACTCTGACGGACTTTTTATTGTATTTATTTCCTTCTTTCCAAGAGAGAATCTACTGAACGGATCGTAGAGAATTTCCTGACTATTTCCAACTTTTTTTTTTTTTTTTTTTTTTTAGCTTGGAGGCTGTTGACTTTTGATTGACGCGACAAGCATCGTTGGTGGCTCGAAGACGTATTTTTTTCGCTCGGCTGCACGACACTTGTAACTCACAAAGACAGGAAGGCGAGACGTCAATTAGCACATGGAAGGAAATATGCATAAATCACACGAAACACAGCTTTAATAGTCATGTTCCTTTTTTTTTTTTTTTTTTGCTTAAACGGCTTGGTTTTGTTTTTCGGCATTGAGAGAAGAGGCAAGTAATTACTCACATTACTGTTTCATTCTTTTACGACTGTATTTTAAGACGTTTTCAAACATTATTGAATTGTCATCAAACATGTTAACGCAGAAGTAACATCAGACGCTAAAAGGGAGGCGGAAATGTTTAATTTAGATCCCTTCTTTTGCATTTTTGATTCATTCATCCGCATGATCTCTCACCGGCCGTCTTCCTCAATTCAGCTCAAGTTTTATCTCTTGAGTGCCAAGTCACAACTGAGGTGTAGAACACAAACCTTCAACTTTCATTTTTATTTGGGGAAAAAAAAATATGCTGAAATCAGATTTCAACATTTGAGAAGCGTAAATGTTACGCAATTATTGTTTTTTTCCTCCCCCAATACTGCACTCAACATAAAATGTAAACAGGGACCTCAAATATTCCGGCACGATATTTTGAATCACGTCACCTACTTCAGTAAAACTATCAATAGAAATACTTCACCTACATCTCATTACTGATAGGTGGACTGCCCATCTTAATTAATTTGAGATGCCTCATTTTTTTCCGTTTTCAGCTCTGGAAATGAGCTCGGATACAAGTTGACGTGCAATGACATCTAAGGGCCTTTACTGGAATCTTTTGTAATCTTTCCACTTTTCCTGCAGTAAACAGGAACGCTGGCAATGACCGTTGCTGTCATGCAATGATTAAATGATTAATTACATACATACATGGCAATAAAAAAAAAGAACCAGATTGTCGACATCTATCTTGACATGAACACTTGTAAATATAGCTTTCAGGCCTAAAACTGTATTCAGTTATGATTCTACGGAATAGTTTATTGGTGCGATAAGATTGTGTGATGTGTGTCTATAATTATTGCAGTTGTGAAAGCTTTATGACCGTCTGATGTGAAAGTGAAATCTCACTTGCGGAACGTTGTGTTTGATTCGGGTAAATTTGCACAAAGCCAACTTTCAAATCGTTGATCGAAGCATGCGACACTTTTGTTAAACCGGGGACACATGCAAGCTGCTGTTGCGCAAACAAGAGGCACTTGTGTTTTGTGTGCAGACGCACGGCCAGTTTGACCTGTAGGTTCTCATTGTGATGACATCACGCCGGGTGAGGGAAATGAACACCTTGAGACAAAGCGGGAAGATGAAAGAGTGACAGAGGCTATTTTTTTAATTCGCGACTCCATGGCAAAATAGGACCGAGTACTTGACGGGCAACTTGACTCGCAAAATTAGCATTCGCGGGTAATGCCGAAACTCTGCTGTTTTTAAGTCGCGATGTAATCACGGGGGTCACAAAGGCGTTCCGGTGATGGTTTATTGTGAAAATGATGAACTGAAACTGATGATTGAATGATGAAATGAATGCCTTATCTCCGCAGGGGAGTGATTGAGCCATAAACCTTGGAGATTTTGGAAAGTCGATCCAGCGTCAAGGCTGCCAACATACTCAAAACGAAACCCATCTATCAAATTGGGGTAAGTCTTTTTGTACTTTTTCTGAGGTGGATATTTTGCAATGTAGCTGCAAGAAATTGTCGACTGTGAATACAACAATATGAATACAGAGGTGCTGTCTGGTGGCAGGCAACTTATCTCATATCACTCCAAGCCACAGTTTTGATGAGGGCTGAACATTATTTTTTTTCCATTGCAATCCCCTTGTGAAAGTTCGACTGTCAATCTAAACAAAATACAAAGAGAAATCCATGTTTTGTATTTGAAAAGAAAAAAAAAAAAAGGATATCCAGATCTATATTATACTGCCCCCAGGTGGCAGTGGTGCACAGAACAGAAGGAACAGCACAATGTCCATTGAACTAAAGCAAAGAAAAAGCATTAAAACGCTTAATTATTTCAATTCTATTTAAATATGTTCTTGCTGCAGGTCTTTATCAAGTAAATTATTTGAGAATGATATATATATATATATATATATATATATATATATATATATATATATATAAAATGATAATTTTACAGTTTGAGCCCTGCGAATCCCAGGGACTCGCTGATCAGAAAAGTATGAGTCCCATTATGCATTTCGAGAGTCCCAAATTTCGAATTCTGAAATGGTCGACTTATTCAATTGCAGATGATAATAACACAAACAACAACAATATAAATTCTCCTCACTTTGCTCCGCTTCCAATGATGCAAGGCTTTCTCAAAGTCAACTTATTATCGCAAAAAACTATCCAACTTTAGCTGGTTCCTCTGTGATATCGCTGCAATCAACTTTCACAACACTTGTTCGCAACACTTGTTTTAACGTCACACAACTTGGCAATCGTCTGCCGATCTCGCCAATCTCGTCTCGCGAGAACGGAAATCTCGTCACGCGAGATTACTTCACACAAGATCAAAACAACAATGCCGGCGATTGTCAAACTGCGATCGTTGCTGTAAAAAAAGTTTTTTTTTTTGTTTTGACTGAGAAATTTCCTTGCATCCCAAAAACGCACATTTTTTTTTTTTTGTGGGGAGGCTATTATACAGGGGTGTCAAACTCATTTCTGTCGTGGGCCATATTTTAGTTACCGTTTCCCATGGAGGGCCGCTATGACTGAAACCATATAAAGAAGTCGAGAATAAGAGTTTACTCCACTTTTGTTTAAGTTACTGTCATGACTGGTTTGGTTAGAAGAAAATGCTGACTATATCCTTCTTATTTATTCCAGATGAAAAGTTGAAATTTTGGTACAGATTTTAGCTGGCATCATGGAAGTTGACATGTTTGATTTGCTTTTGTGGGCCACATAAAATGAGGTGGCGAGCCGGATCTGGCCCCCGGGCCTTGAGTGGCCATTTTTAACTACCTCCCCATAATGGGCCCATGCAATACTTTTGGCTCTCAACCTGTTAGTTGAGAATCACTCCGTTAGACAGTTCTGATACAAATGTTTCCCTTAAACCGTAGGCCAAGATGGAGCCTGTTGATTCAAATGAGCAGAAGCAAAGTGGCCACACCCAAATCCATGGCCCTGTGGCGGGTGTCTATCTGGGCAAGTCCAAGCAGAAGATCAGCATATACGAAGCCATGAAGAAAGGTCTGCTTAAACCTGGAACCGCGCTGGCCCTGCTGGAAGCCCAGGCCGCCACAGTAGGTGTTGTAGACCCTGTGAAGAACCGAATACTTCCAATCATGGAGGCCGTCAAGGAGGAACTCGTCGGACCCGAGTTGAAGGAGAAGCTCCTTTTTGCAGAGAAGGCTGTCACCGGTTACGAAGACCCTTACACTAACCAAACCATATCTGTGTTCCAAGCCATGCAAAAAGACTTAGTGCCCAGAGATTACGGTTTGAGACTACTTCAAGCGCAAATGGCCACGCACGGCCTGTTTGATCCCATTGAGAAGACAAACATTCCAGTGGAGTCAGCCATCCAGAAAGGCTACTATGAAAAAGGTCTGCTGGATGACCAGATGTCAGAGTTAAAGGTGTTCTACAATCCGAGCACACAACAGCACGTCAACTACAAAGCCCTGGTGGAAAAGTGCATTGTGGAAGCTGACACAGGTCTACTTCTTTTCCCCATCTTCATCACCTTCAAAGGGTTGAGACGGGGAATTTCCTCCGCAGAGCTCTTTGAGTCCAAGATCATTGACAAGGAAATCTATGATAAACTGCAGAAGGGCAAGACCACAACCCAGGAAGTGATGCTGAATGAGACGGTGAAAGAATACCTTCAGGGGAAAGGCAGCATCGCGGGCATTGCGATACTCTCATCCAATCAGATACTGAACATCTATGAAGCCATGAAGCAGAGCATACTGATGCCTGGGACAGCGCTAGTTCTGCTGGAGGCACAGGCTGCAACGGGGTTCATGATTGATCCCCTCAAAAACAAAAAGTTCACTGTGGACGAGGCTGTAAAAAACAAGCTCATTGGCCCCGAATATTATGCCAAGCTGCGCTCCGCCGAACGAGCTGTGACTGGATACAAGGACCCATACACCGAAGAAACCATTTCGCTCTTTCAAGCACTTTCCAAAGATCTCATCTTGAAAGAACACGGGATCCGCCTACTGGAGGCACAAATTGCCACAGGGGGAATCATCGACCCGATCCATAGCCACAGACTCCCCACAGAGGTGGCCTTCAAAAGAGGCTATTTTGACCAAGAAATGAAAGCCGTACTCGAGGATTCGGGAGATGACACAAAGGGATTCTTTGACCCAAACACAGAGGAGAATCTGACATATCTTCAGCTGATAGAAAGGTGCGTTACAGATCCTTCCACTGGACTCTGCCTCCTTCCTCTTCGAGACAAATCCGATGGACTCAACTTCGCCTTTATTGAATACCAAACGAAGATGGCCTTCAAACAGAAGAAGGTGAAAGTGACATGTGGCAAGTATGCGGGAATGACGGTATCGCTGTGGGAGCTGCTGATGTCAGACTACTTTAATGAAGAGCAGAGGAAAGAGATCATACGCAAATACCGTGAGAGGAAGTTCACAATCGAGATGATTGTCACAACAGTTCTAGAAACCATTGAGACATCTGTCAAAAACACCAAGGTCATCTTTGAAGGCATCAGAGAAACGGTCACGGCCAAACAGCTGGTTGAGGCCGACATCATTAGCCAGGACGTCCTCGATGATCTGAAGAAAGGGAGGAAGTCTGTTAAGGAGGTGGTTGAGGATCAAAACCTACACGTGTACCTCCAGGGGAAAGACAGTATTGCAGGTGTTCTTCTTCCTGACTCCCAGATCATGACCATCTACCAAGCCAGAAAGAAAGGCAAACTGATGCCAGGAACAGCTCTGATTTTACTTGAGGCACAGGCGGCAACAGGATTCATCATCGATCCTATTGGAAACAGAAAGTTTTCGGTGGATGATGCCATCAAAGCCAAGATTGTTGGGCCTGATTTATGCCAAAAGCTGCGCTCTGCGGAGAAGGCAGTGACAGGATACAAAGACCCGTACTACGGGACCACAATCTCTCTGTTCCAAGCAATGCAAAAAGACCTCATAGTGAAGGACCACGGTATTCGACTCCTGGAGGCACAAATTGCCACTGGCGGCATCATCGACCCAGTGAACAGCCATCGCATTCCCGTCCAAGTGGCCTACAAGCGTGGGTACTTCAATGAGGAAATGAACGAGATCTTGAGTAATCCCAGTGATGACACCAAAGGTTTTTTTGACCCCAACACACATGAGAACCTCACCTACTTGCAGCTCATGGCCAGATGTGTCAAAGATCCCAGTACGGGACTTTGTCTCCTGCCACTCAAAGGCAAAAGTCACAAAGTCAACATCGACGACTCCATGAAGGAACTGTTCAGAACAACAGTCGTTTCTGTGCGGTATGGCCGCTTCAAGGGCAAGCATGCCACTCTTTGGGATCTCATCAATTCAGAGTATCTCTCTGAGGATAAAAGACAAGAGTTCTTCAAACTCTTCAGGTCAAGGAGACTCACAATTGAGGAAATTATTGAGTCGATTTTAATCATCATTGAGAGCAAGGAGATAAAACAGCAAGTGGAGCTCAGCTTCCAAGGCCTCAGAGGGAAGGTTTCCGTTGTGGATCTTTTGGAGCTTAAAATAGTGGATGAAAAAACCTACAGCAACTTGATTGATGGAACGTTAAGCAGCACTGATGTGTTGCAAATGGAGAGCGTGAGGGCCTACCTACAAGGGAAGAGCTGTGTCGCCGGCGTGATACTGCAGCCCTCCAATCAGAAGCTGAGCATCTACGAAGCACAGAAAACTGGCATCCTGACACCCGGCACAGCTCTTTGCCTCCTAGAGGCGCAGGCAGCCACGGGGTTCATTGTCAATCCATTGGCAAACAAAAAGCTCACAGTGGAACAAGCGCTTCGAGAAATGTTAATTGGTCCTCAAATGTATGAAAAGCTTCTGTCTGCGGAGAGGGCTGTCACTGGTTACACTGACCCATACATGGGTCAAAAGATCTCTCTTTTCCAAGCCTTGAAAAAGAATCTCATTGTGAAGGAGCACGGCATTCGATTACTGGAGGCCCAAATTGCAACAGGGGGTATCATTGACCCCTTGAAGTGTCTTCACTTACCTCTTGACGTCGCCTACAGGAAAGGATATTTTGATGAAGAAATGAATCAAATTCTGTTGGACCCAAGCGATGACACAAAAGGTTTTTTCGACCCCAACACCAAAGAGAATCTGACATACATGGAGATGTTGGGAAGGTGTGTAAAAGATAAAGAAACAGGACTGTTCCTCCTACCAATGACTAACACACCAAAAACCTCAAAAACAAATGGGAGACTGTACACTGACAGTGAAATAAGGCAAATTTTTGAAGAGACAACAGTGAACATATCGTTAGGACGCTATGCAGGAAAATCAGTTTCTCTCTGGGAATTGATCCACTCTGGCTACTTCACTGAAGACCAGCGAAATCAATTGATAGAAAAATTCCAAACAAGAAAGGTCACCACACACACTATCACCACCCGAGTGATATCAACCATTGAGAAACTGGAGAAGAGTGAAGCTCCCAAAATGACAATGGGCCTGAGAAAGCTTGTCTCGGCCAAAGAACTGCTGGACTCTGGCATTATCGACGATGACACATTCAAACAGGTGCAGGAAGACAAAGTGACTTTGGCAGAGGTCACCAAATGTGAGCGCGTGCAACAATACCTGAATGGATCAAGAAGCATTGCTGGGGTTAAAGTGTATCCATCGCAAGCAGTTCTCAGCATATACAGCGCAAAAACGGAAGGTATGTTGAGAGATGGCATTGCACGTTTACTGCTCGAAGCGCAGGCTTCGACAGGATGGATCATTGATCCTCTCACAAACAAGTTCTATGCTGTTGATGAGGCTGTAAAAGAGGAAGTCGTTGGGCCAGATGTGTGTGAGCAGCTTCTGTTGGCCGAGCGAGCCATCACCGGTTATAAAAACCCCTACACCGACAGAACAATATCACTGTTTGAGGCGATGAATGAGCAACTGATTCAAAGAAGTGATGCCATTCGTTTTCTTGAAGCACAAATAGCAACGGGCGGCATCGTAGACCCAAACATGAGTCACAGGCTGCCTGTTCATGTTGCAGTCAAAAGGGGACTTCTCGATGACCAACTCCTAGGCCTGCTGACAACCCCTGAAAATTCAAAGGGATACTTTGACCCAAACACAAAGGAAAAACTCTCTTACCTCGAGCTGATGGAGAGATGTGAAAGAGATCCAAAAACAGGCCTTCTTCTTATAGCACTGCATGAGGAGACATCAAATGTTTTTCACACAAAGGAGCAAATAGAGCTGGAGTTTAAAAACAAAACCGTGATCATGGATGTGGGAAAATTCCAAAACAAAAAAGTGACCTTGTGGGAATTGCTGCTGTCTGAATACATATCACAGAAGAAGAGGGAGCAGCTCACAGAACAATATAAGACCGGCACCATAACAGTTGAAGAGTTGATTGAAATACTCACAGTGATCATTACAGAGGTCTCCTCCAAAGAAAGAAAGTTCAAAGGACTGAGGAAGCAGGTCTCAGCAAGTCAGCTCTTTGAGTCAAAGATCATCTCAAAGGAGCTTTTCACGCAAATTATACAAGGGGAAGTAACTGTAGACAATGTTAACAAAATGGAATCCGTCCAAAAGTACCTTGGGGCGACAAACTGCATAGCCGGTGTCAGAGATGAGTCTACAAAGAAGATTATGAGCATCTATGAAGCAAAGTCCAGAGGCCTGCTGACTCCTGGGACGTCTCTTGTTCTCCTAGAGGCTCAAGCTGCGACTGGCTTTGTCATTGACCCTGTCAACAACAAGAGGCTTTCAGTGGCTGAAGCTGTGGCTCAGAAAGTAGTCGGCAGTGAGTGGAAAAAGAAGCTGCTCTCAGCAGAACGAGCTGTCACAGGATACATTGACCCCTACACTGGTGATACAATTTCCTTATTCCAGGCTCTGATAAAAGATCTCATTGTTAGAGATCACGGAATCCGTCTCCTGGAAGCTCAAATTGCCACAGGAGGCATCATTGACCCAGTATACAGTCACAGAGTGCCTGTGGAGGTGGCTTACCAAAGAGGGTACTTTGACGAGGAAATGAACCAGATTTTATCTGACCCAGATGACGATACCAAGGGCTTTTTTGATCCCAACACGCAAGAGAACCTTACTTATCTCCAACTTATAGAAAGGTGTGTCACGGACCCAAACACCGGCCTTAACCTACTATCCATTGTGAAGAGAGGGGAGTTCTACTTCTTTGTTGACGAGGCCACAAAACTGATACTGAAATCAACAATGACCACCAGAGCAGGTGGAAGGTATCAGGGAAGCACTGCGTCGCTGTGGGATCTGCTCTACTCCAGATACATCACTGAGGAGAAGAGGCGAGAGCTTGTGCAACAGTACAAGTCCGGAACTATCACGATTGAACGCTTTTTGGAAATCATCTTGACGGTCATTCAGCAGCAGACCACTACCACAACCTCCTCATCAACCATCATATGTCAAATGCCAGAAACAGACATTGACAAGAGCACCACAAAGACCACCATCACCACCACAGTCACAGAGACCGACAGCTTCCATGGGATTCGAAAGGACGTCAGTGCTGCAGAGTTGCTTGAATCCAAAATTATCAATGAGGACCTCTACAAAGACCTCAACACAGGAACAATCACAGTCAAGGAAATAAGTGAAATGGACTCTGTCCGTCGGTATCTAGAAGGGACCAACTGCATTGCAGGAGTGTACTTGCAGTCCACCAAGGAGACCCTGAGCATCTATGAAGCCAAGTCCAGAGGCCTGCTGACTCCCGGAACGTCTCTTGTGCTGCTAGAGGCCCAAGCTGCCACTGGTTTTGTCATTGACCCAGTAAAGAACAAGAAGCTCTCTGTGGAAGAGGCTGTGGCCCTGAGAGTGGTTGGCGGCGAATGGCAAAAGAAACTGCTCTCAGCAGAACGAGCTGTCACAGGATACAAAGACCCTTACACGGAAAGAACAATATCTCTCTTCCAGGCCCTGAAGAAAGACCTGATCGTCAAAGATCATGGAATCCGTCTCCTGGAAGCACAAATTGCAACAGGAGGCATCATTGACCCGGTATACAGCCACAGAGTCCCTGTGCAGGTGGCTTACCAAAGAGGGTACTTTGACGAGGAAATGAACCAGATTCTCTCTGACCCGGATGATGACACCAAGGGGTTTTTTGATCCCAATACACAAGAGAACCTCACCTATCTCCAGCTGATCGAGAGGTGTATCACAGATCCCATCACTGGACTCAGCCTGTTGGTTATTGTGAAGAGAGGGGAGTTCTACTTCTTTGTTGACGAGGCCACAAAACTGATACTGAAATCAACAATGACCACCAGAGCAGGTGGAAGGTATCAGGGAAGCACTGTGTCGCTGTGGGATCTGCTCTACTCCAGATACATCACTGAGGAGAAGAGGCGAGAGCTTGTGCAACAGTACAAGTCCGGAACCATCACGATTGAACGCTTTTTGGAAATCATCTTGACGGTCATTCAGCAGCAGACCACTACCACAACCTCCTCATCAACCATCATATGTCAAATGCCAGAAACAGACATTGACAAGAGCACCACAAAGACCACCATCACCACCACAGTCACAGAGACCGACAGCTTCCATGGGATTCGAAAGGACGTCAGTGCTGCAGAGTTGCTTGAGTCCAAAATTATCAATGAAGACCTCTACAAAGACCTCACCACAGGAACAATCACAGTCAAGGAAATAAGTGAATTGGACTCTGTCCGTCGGTATCTAGAAGGCACCAACTGCATTGCAGGAGTGTCCTTGCAGTCTACCAAAGAGACTCTGAGCATCTATGAAGCCAAGTCCAGAGGCCTGCTGACTCCTGGAACCTCCCTTGTGCTGCTGGAGGCCCAAGCTGCCACCGGTTTTGTCATCGACCCTGTCAAGAACAAGAAGCTCTCTGTAGAAGAGGCTGTGGCTCAGAGAGTGGTTGGCAGCGAATGGCAAAAGAAGCTGCTCTCAGCAGAACGAGCTGTCACAGGATACAAAGACCCTTACACGGAAAGAACAATATCTCTCTTCCAGGCCCTGAAGAAAGACCTGATCGTCAAAGATCATGGAATCCGTCTCCTGGAAGCACAAATTGCAACAGGAGGCATCATTGACCCGGTGTACAGCCACAGAGTTCCAGTGCAGGTGGCTTACCAAAGAGGGTACTTTGATGAGGAAATGAATCAGATTCTGTCTGACTCAGGTGACGACACTAAGGGCTTTTTTGATCCGAACACACAGGAAAACCTCACCTATCTCCAACTGCTTGAAAGGTGCATCACAGACCCCATCACTGGATTAAGTTTACTCCCCTTAATTAAAAAATGAATCATCTTTTCATGTATTTCTCCTTTGTTGTTTAAATAGTACTGAGTTGAGCACTGTTCTTTTTCGCTCAAAAACACTTAATCCTAGTTTCATACTGATATTCACAGAAATTGTTCAGCTTGTTCTACTGAAAAAAAATATGCATTTTGAATATGTCTGTACTGTAAAATATGACCTAATAAACAAGAATGTGAGCACTGATGCTTGTTTTGTTTCAGTCACAAGTATTATCTGGATTTCTGAAGCTCTTATTTGCTTTGCAAACAGGTTTTCCAGCCTGAACTTCAAAAGTTAAGAGTAAATGTCAAGGGTGAACAGTCGACAAGCAAAAACCCAAAAATGTTGCGAATTTAGCTTGTAGCCTTTTCAGCGCCAAGAAGAAAAATGAGCAATGCAACAACTGAAAACCTTTCGTGTAATGATGATTTTGATTCAAATATCCCCAAACTGTGTCATATTTAAAGAACCACCCAAACGCAATAGAAAACTGTAAACATTTATTTCCAATAATCAATTCAATAACAAGAGTCTATTTGAAGAGTAAAATGCAGCGAGTGAATCCAGGCTTCACTTGTGGTCTTACAAAAAAAAAACTTTGATGCATATTGTTGAGGCCATCGCGTCTCATTATTTTTTTCTCTACTCCAATTTATCCAGTAACTGGCGAATGTCCTCTTGTCCACGGTAAATCCTCTTCAGCCCTCTGGGAAGATACCGACAGGAGGACAGGTTGAGGTAGTCTAACGCTGTTGTTTGGCCGATGACAGACCTGCGAAACCACAGGAAAGATGAAGGTAGTCTTTGTGGTTTAGAACAATGTTTCCCAACCTTTATCGAGCCGGGATACATATTTGACTTGTGATTTCACCCTTTATTGCACCAATACTGATAACCTGTAACCTGATAACATGATAAGCTGTCCTCTGTCGCAACCGCTGTCCCTGAAAGGGTTACAGTACCCTAATCGTCCACGGCAGTGATCCTTTCCCATGGAGCTCATGATGGTCGTTCAAAAGGTAAACAAAGAAAATCGTTTCCTGGTACCTCAGTGCAGCCGTCGTGATTCTGGTCCCGCTCAGGTTGAGCGACCGAAGGGTGTCTGCATCGTTGGCCTGCGCCAGGTGGCGCATGGCCACCTCCAGGTCCTCCTCGGAGAATGGCTGATTGGCCACATCCAGCTGCCGCAGCGTCTGACCCCATTTCTGCGTCACGGCGTGGAGGCCCTTCCTCAGGGACGACGTGCCCACGTGGCTACTGAAATACTGACCCCAGAAGAGACACTCCAGCTCTGCCAGAGACAAGGTGTGGGCCCATTTCGGATTTTTTTAAAGAGCAATGTTAAATCTCTTCATTGCAAAAGCTTATCAGTTTCTTGTTGGACTTTTGATCAATCATTTACTTTTTTAATGAAACTCTAACCCTGGTTTAAAACCCCAAATTAGTAATCCTAACATGTTTATAACCCTGATTTGAAAATCCCTCTCCTAGTTTTCACTGCTCACTCTGTCTTTTAGATCCTAACTCTGACCTCCAATTCTTATTTGAAAACCTTGCCCAATTTGAATCCCCAAAACAAGGCACTGAAAGAAAAAAAATGATAATAAATAAATAAGACGTCTTTACCAAGACAGGGTAGCGCCGCCAGACCCTCAGACGTGATGCGCGAGCAGCCTCTCAGGTCCAGAACTCGGAGCCGCGGGGAGCCAAAGAGTACATCCCATAAGTATTTGTCGGTCATGTAGGAGTATGACGTGGTGGCGATACACAGCTCCTCCAGTAGAGGGAAGCCAAGAGCTAATTCAGCACCATTCCGCATGTTCTTCTGCAGTGGCCGGACATTCAGCATACGGAATGTCTGATGACAAGCAAAATTGAGGATTTTTTATTTTTTCTTCTCGGTAATGATCAAAATAAGGACACCGCAAGAAAATATTTACCAGAGGTGAGAGTAAAATTCACACATGTGCGTGTCCTAAGGAATTATCAAATCTTAAACTTCCGAGTTTCGAGCAAGTTCCAAATGACTGTGGCAAAATCAAGCAAGCTGTACGAACACGTTCACAAAATTGGCAACTTAAGGCTGACTCGAGTCAAAGTGATGTGCCTTGAGCCCCCCTCCTCCACCCCTTTGATATTTACCGTCTTCTACCTTAAGTTTTGGGCAAGCCATCTGGAGTGCTTGGACGCAAAGTGGCAGTTCGCCGTCTTTACTGTCCAGCTTTGTGTTCACCTCCAGCAACTCCAGATCAGGACAGCATCCCCTCTGAAAACAGAAGCGCAGGATGAAGCTTTTTTTTTTTTCCTTTTCAATTGCACTTGAGAAAAAGCTTGTGTTTTACTTACAGAGATGGCGGCGAGGAGTCGGTCATACTTCAAGCCGTGGGTGAACCAAATCTGTTGGATCTGAGCGCCGTGACTTTCGAGGTACGTGAGAAGTCCTTCCACTTGAAACTACAGCAACACAAACACGACATTTTTTCCCCCGTATAATACATTTAAATTATTTGACAGAAACAGGACTTTTTATTTTTTTGCTGCACATGATTGGCTCACCTCCGTGTACTGTAGATTTAAGCTTTGCAGTGAGCAGCTGTGCAGGCCAAGGCTCTGGAAGGCCAACTCCGTAAGACCAGTACAGTAGGAGAGCGTGAGGGCACTCAAGCGAGGGCAGAACTGCGACACAACCTGCCGAGGGATTCTTATTTTATATCATCGCCGATATCAATATCTCAAACTGGAAGTACCATAAACTGAAAACGTGGCGACTTACATTGACGACGTGGTCCACATTCTTGGTCCAGTGGTGGAGGGAGAAATCCCGCAGCTGAGAGAATCTTAAAAAAATAATAAAAAAAATATCTTTCTATTTATACAGAAGGTTGACACAGCTAATCGTCATGGCAACATCGAGGACCATACCTGTTCTGCGCCATCCAGTCTAATGTGTCTTTAATCTGACTCTGCATTTTTGGCTGCTGAGTTTTGCCCGGTGCGATCCAGCAGTGACCGACGGAGACTTTCCGCCACAGGACAGGAGTGGCGGCGGCAGAGTTCCACAGGCGGCACACCCTTCCCACCCTAGCACGGAAGACGCGTGCTTTTTAGCTTTGGTAATCAAGCAAACATCAACAGAAAAGTAAAGGGTGTTACAAAAAAATTTGTCTCCTAATAACATGGACAATTCTCACTCAAATTATCTGAAATTTTTAACAAAATGTGTAAAAACAAAGTTTACTGTTGGTTATGTCTATATTACGAAGCTTTTCATTTTGATGATGACGCCAATATTTATTTAGAAACCAAACCCTGGTTACTACCTGCACAGAAATGGGACAGCGCCATCTTGCATGACCACCATCTTAAAAATATTGACCAGAACCTCCTCCGGAAGACTTTGGCCCCATCTGTGGTCGTTTGGCTTCTCCGCCACAAACATAGGAGGCATCACCTCCTCTTTTTTCTCAACAGTACGAATAATAATAGGTTTTGTATTTTTCTTCTTCCCTGTTGTCCTTTTCCCCCCATTTCCTTTGATAGTGGCATTCTTTTTCTTTCCTCCCTTCTTCTTCTTTTTGTGGGCCCAGACGGGGCCGTCGTTCTGCGAGGTGCTGCTGGATATGACAAGGAGCATGTCCTCACCCTCGTGGACGGTGAATCTGGGCTGAGCTGTTCTCTTCACACCTGTTTTCTTCTTTTTTGCCTTTTGGTTTTGGGTCTTATTGGTTTTCCTCTTCAGTGAGGCTTTTGGGAGATTTGGTGCGTCGTTTCCCTGGGTGGATGCGGATGCCTCGTCTTCAACAGCACCTTCAGTGGATGCCATGTTTTCTTTTCTTTATAAGCCAATGAACACAATGAACATAACCTAAAAAATAGACATTGACGAATATTAATGAAATTGTGTTCTGTTTTACATAATATTCTACACTTGTCATGGTCACATTTGCATATTTCTCCATTTTGAACTGGTTCAATGCACGCATACATGACTATGAAGCGCTTTTTGCCTTGTCATCATTACATTACGATTTATATGACCAGTTCTGACCAATCTGAGCCATTACAAAGTGTTATTCCCATACCTGTCAACCTCGGCTAATAGCTGCCCTTATAAATGATTACGATTCCCCTTACAAAGCAACAAAAACCCTTACAACGGTTTACCGCGCATGCGCATATCATGCTTTATCAATCCTACCGTACGCAGCGATGAAAAAAAATATACGATTGAGGATTACTTTTGCTGGTTTGCCGTGACAATAGTAGCGATCGACGACGGCATTGTCGTTGGCTACCAGCAGGTGAGACGATCTGGATTTGAGCCAAAATGGTCTTTGTGAGATCGGTTCACAATATTTTTTCCCCGTATAAAAGTTGTAATACGCCGTACATGATTTGAAATGATAAAAAAAACGTATAAAATACGGGGAAAACGTACAAGTTGACTGAGTCATTCATCATTTTCACAGTGATGAATTATCCATGTTATTATATTACCTGAAATCTGTGTGCGCATCCGCAGCTCTTTTCTTGTGACACTGACAGACCCAAACGTTCACAACCAATTTGGGCAAAAGTTAGATCAACTCGGGAATAAATGAACTTCGACAACACCATTGAGCAACTCGTCACCGCTGCTTGGTGTTAGCTAAAGAAGTCAGCAGCACCGCGCGACATATCGACGACAAAAGTCACAATTCTAATAAGTGCGAACTTACGTTGAACACGGGTCGTTATATTTCGCGAGATTATTTTTTTGGTTGCTATTTTAGAACCCACGGTTCGAGCAGCAATTTGTTGTTGTTTCTTCAATCCAACCGAGGAAGGATACGCCCTGCTGCAACGTGATTGGCTGTAGGACCCACATTGCTGCAATATGGTTGGCTGCTGCATCCAGGTCACGCCTGACAGGAAGTGACTCGAGTCGGTGTGATTGTGAATTCCGCATATTCGAAGCCACGCTAACCATAATAACAAATGTTATATATATCTATTTTTTTCATTTCGTTGAGCGGTCATGGGTTACAGGTTAGGAACAATTGTGAGGAAAAAATAAGTTTTTTTTTAATGATTTATCATGGTGTTCATTTTTGTATATCACAAAAACTTGCCTTTTGAACAGGCGTGTGTACACTTTTTATGCCGTACTCTCTTCCCTCCATCTCCTTTGTTAATAGTCGTATGTTTCGCTGTGTTCATTCAGGTAACAAATGCGTCAAATATACATTTTCAATGTTCATGCATAGCCTTTGGTGGGAACGTTGTCACATCCAAGGTGGCTGCCACGTTGACACATGTTTCTTGCTCATTGGCCTATTTAGCCTGTTTTGCAAAATTTGCATATAATGCGGTACGATTGGTGGAAAACTCAACTAAAGACCCGCCTTTCATCACTGAACCAATCACAGGTTTCTATTTACTTCCGGGCAAGACAACGAGCTGAAAGACGCCCTGCAGTAGCCTCGGATATTTCGCGGTAAAACAAACGTTAACGTTTTAAAATCCATCTGCATGTTGTTTAGTTGAACTCTTAGTTTAAACGGTGCTGATGCTACCGCCTGCAATCTACCGCTGATGAACGGTCTTCCGAGCCAACAGTTATGCTAACGTTAGCTTCGCACGTGACCTGCAGTAACATTTAATGGAGTTTTACAAACATTTACTTTGTGTAGAATCAGCTCGAACGAGGCTACTAATTCCAGTAAACACTTGAACACACCGGTAATAAAGTGTAGACCACAACTAGTGTATTGATGACACATGAACTTGCAGTTTTTCTCTACCATAACAGCTGACAATGGAATCCGGGGGGAATTTCTCTCTTTGTGGAAAAGCAGCTGTAATTGAAGCAAATTTGAGTAAGTCTAAAAACAATTATGTAAAGCAAGCTGGAATATAAATTGATATTTGTACTATTATGTCACACGGGGTGTATAATTGGCTAATATTTCTGTTTTTCAGGAGACGATTATTATTGGAAGCTGGTGGCAGACTTCGTTGGCCCTCAGACAGGCGAAGGTTTGGATCTGGACAGAGAGCTTTGCAAAAACAGGCTGTTAATTCAAAGTGGACTCATGAGGGAGGACAATAACTTCCCATGGATTTCTGTCATTGATTGGCTGAAGAGGATTTTCCCAGTTTACCATTCGGCGGACTTTCGGTGCTTGATCGAAAGAGGCATTGCCACCACCTTGAGCTTGGCGGGCGAGGCCAGGCAGACGTTTCTGGATTCGTATGTGAACTTCAACTTTGTGGGCCCCATATGCGACAGCATTGGTGTTGAACGAGACCACCTTTTAAAGATGAAAGACTTTTCTGACCGGGCGCAGTCCATTGAGGTCACCAACGGTTTGATCCTCGAGCTGAACAACTTTGTGACAAGAGAGAGAGTTTCCCCCATCAACCTGGTCACCTGGCTGAGGAACTTCAACCCGGAATACTGCAAAGACGGCAAAATTCAAAAAGCTTACAAAGTCCTGAAGGTTCAGATCAAAAAGTTAAAGATGTGCCACCACAATTCTCAAACGAGAAGTCACAGGCGAAACTTTGTGATGGAGAATTTGCTTCAGAGTCCGTTTGAGCTGGTGAATTCAAGGGACTACCACAAGACCTCTGCCAAGAAGCGCACACAGTCATCTCCAGGTGAAAAGATGATGATCAAGGAGGAACAGGATCGCTACGAAATCTCTCCCAGCAGGGAGTCAGAGAATTCTTCGGTATGTGTGTCAGTCAGCAGTGGTAGCGAGAACGCTGGGTGCATGCCCGACGTAGCCGCAGTGAAAAAAGAAGTAATATTGCCATCGCTTTTAGATGTGGCTATGTTATCTGTCCAAAAGTTGTCGAGTATACACCATGGACAAACCAAAAAGTGCAGGAGAATTTCCTGGGACCTCCTCAGAAATCAGTATGCGCTAACGTGCAAGGAGCACCCCACCATGGTGGAGTTTGAGAAAATCCTTCACTCTGTCGGAGAGCAGGTCTCGCTGGCGCCCCCGGTGGTCTTCCTACACCACAACGCCAATTTTTTAGTGGATGTGCACGACATGGTGGAGCAGCAGATTATGGCTTTCGAGAGCGAGATCACCCAGTCACGGGGCGACAAGCTGGGCCGGGACGGAAATCCCCTTTTTAAGAATGTGGTCGGCTTCACCGAGAGCGCCACCTCCCGCTTTATCCACATGGCCACAGACATGCTGACCCCTGGCAAGGGGGCTTTGCTGAGCTACAAGAAGCACTGGCTGGCCTTCTGCAAGGAGAAGAAAAACCCCTCCCGGCTAGTCAGGAGGCAGTCGACGCTGTTCAGCAGCTACTTTGAGGCCGCCGCAGGCCTCATTCACCACCACAACGAAGTTGCGCCCTTCTTCTCTGACATGCTGGCGCTCAACGACGATGAGTGCCCCAACGTCCTCCTTGAGAGCGTGGTCGCCGACGCCAGTGATTCTGTCATCCAAAGCATTGTGTGCGTTCTCGCAATCATCTACTGCAAAGTAGTGGGCCCCTACTGGCAGCTTCTGAAGAGCACAGGTGAATACTCCCTCTTCAGCCAGTACCTGCTTTGCCTCTACCAGAAGTTCCTAGAATGGTCCAAAGACCCCTCCACTCTGATGGTGCCCGAAAAGGTCACCAATGTCTTCCTGCAGTTCGCACTGCAAGATAAGCTGTACAACGGCGTGTACCAATACTGTGACGACTTGCACACCAACAGGGACCTCATCAGGGTCTGCCTGAAAAGGATGATCAAGGTGATTGCCGGCGTTGCTGAGGAGCACCTGAATTACTTCTTGCCGGGAGGACGTTATGCTAAAGTGCCGTCATCTGATTTGAACATGAAGCTGTTGAATTGCAAGTTCGCCGTCCTGATGGCCGACTATCCCTACAGCACGCCACCAGGGCAAAAAGACAAAAAATGCCCCACGGACTCTGATAGCTCAGAGGACTTGAGTTCGTCTGACGTTGAAGACCATATCGACGGGCAGACTCCCAACGCTGCCAGCGGGGCGCATTGGGTCAAAGGTCGGGGACGGCAGAAGATGGTAAAACGTCCAGCAATTAAGGCTGTCATTTCGGAGTGCATGGACCTGGATTACATCACCGCCACCGTGGATAGAAATGGGGGGCCGTGCCGCACCCAGCAGGATGTGGACAAGCTGCTCCTGCGCTTGGCCGACAGTGACAGGCAGACAAAGTGCGAGGCGATCCGATGCGAGATTGCCTTTCAGAAAATGGTGCTGCACAACACCGACCCCATCCTCAACTCTAATTTCCGCACCACCACCGACATGACGATAAAGTTGAAACTCTCCCTGCCCCGCCTCAAGCCGGGCTACTCGATCGTTTTGGCCCCCAGGAAGACTGCGGTGAGGAAGTGCGTGCGTCCGAGCATGGAGAGCAGCCATCCCAAACCCGAAGTGAACCAACAGGTGTAATATTGTCAACGAATTAGGGGCATTCATTCACAAAGCATAAATATAGCTCAATAGCTCAGTCTTTCGCACTCAAATGCAAATATCATGTTGGGGTGAGAGGGGGCATTGGGCTTCATTTTAAATATGCTGTCAGGACTGACTGACAACTGAATTGATGGAGTACTGTATTACCGGAAAAATAAAAAAATATCTGTATGGTTAGTCAGCCTGAATTTTTGTGCACCCATTTTGCACAATCATTGTGCGTTTAAGCAACGTTGAGTGTTTTGTTTTCTCAAGTGATATTTGGTGGTCATGGTTTGTAAAAGTACTTGTCTGGGCCAAGAAAATCACATATGTGAGCAAACACTTCCCACATCAGGCAGAAATGTGTCAAGATTTTCGAGGATAAGTGATCGAAATATATTTGAGCATCCGTCCTTCTTAGTTGTGTTGCAGTCATAAAACGAACGCACCCTTCTGCGGGGCGTCACAAGGCAGACCGTGATGCTTTCAATGCTCTCAAAAATATTGAATGCCTCTTAACTTCGAGAAAAACCCAAGGAAACACGACGACAATCTGTTAGTAGCAATGTTTATGGACAGTAGTGTGTTACGGATTTACATTCTGTACGATATTCATACAGCGTACTGTATTGCATCCACGTTTGATAGAGCCGCGAACGCGTCAAAAAGCAAGGGATCATTATTTTACAAAGAGTACTTGAAGGCATCTCGAGGGGCGGGAACTCCTTGGCGAGAGTCCACCATTGCTTCCACTCCAACGCGGCCTGAGGAGCGGTGGTTTACTGGTATCTCTTTAAAAAAAAAAGAGAAAAAACGAAGCAAGGTGAACGAACCACTTGCCGGTTTGCTCACCGCGGTTTCTTCTCCGTTCTTTAGGTTTACTGGTGTCTCTTTAAAAAAAGAAAAAACGAAGCAAGGTGAACGAACCACTCGCCGGTTTGCTCACCGCGGTTTCTTCTCCGTTCTTTGGGCAGAAGTCGGCGGCGTCATGTCGCCCGGCTGGTGGAGGAGCAATGCGGTGACCCACGGCCTCATGGCGCTGTTCGCTATGGGGTCGTGGATTTCAGTCAATAGTTTGTGGGTCGAGCTCCCAATCATCGTCGGCGTGCTGCCCGAAGGTCAGTGTCCGCCTCATGACGTTCCCTCGTCGACCACCCGCAAGACTTTTTGCTCACCGGTGGAAATCATTCAGGCTAGCCATTAGCCAGCTAGCCTGTAACACTAACCCATTTATTCGCTTTTTCGTTTTGAAATGATACGGAAATAGCACAGTGGGATTCTGCTAACAATTACACTTGACATACAACATGTCCATGAAGTCATGTCGACAGTTATTGGAATAATTTCAGTCCGCTAACAAAACTTTGGAGAAATAACAGCCCGCAAAAATGGAACAAAATTGCTTAATTCACATACAGTGACGTCACAGCAAACGGTTACTCTGGAGGTTTCGCATCTCAAATGACGGCTCCAGAAAATGATTTTTTTTTTTAAAATGGAATTATTTCTGACAATTATAATGCGTAATCATTGCCTAACATTTGTAAAGACGTATTAATGCTTTCGTGGAATTGATATTGTTGGGCTACATCAGAAATTTCTATGTTTGTATTTATGTCCCATTAAAAATGCATGCTCTGATTTAAAAAATAATAATTACACATCGGATATTTGAGTCGTTTTTTTTAATCATTGGGTCTTACTCTATATTTGAGTCATATTTTTCTAAAGTAAGTATTCTTGCTGATGATTGAGGATTATTAACCTGATGTCGGGAAAAAAATGCTGTTCGAGTTGTATTAAAAAGGCTTTTTTTTTTTTGTGTGCCTTATCGCAGGTTGGAATTTGCCGGCATACCTCTCAGTCCTGATCGCGTTCGGCAACATTGGTCCAGTGGCGGTGACCGTCACGCATCACTGCGCACCAGGCCGCCTCAACGAGCGCCTGCTCATCCACGGCATCCAGGCATTGGCGGTGGTGGCGTCGGCGCTGCTGGCCATCTTCTGGGCGCACACAGCGATTGTGGCGGGGCAGATGCACTCGCTGTCCTTCCTGCTCCTCACCTTTGTGCTGTCGCTTGTGTGCTGCACGTCCAACGTCACCTTCCTGCCCTTCATGTTCCGCTACCCGCCGGAATACATCCGCACCTTTTTCATCGGACAGGGTCTGAGCGCGTTGTTCCCGTGCGTGGTGGCGCTGGGGCAGGGCGTGGGCCAGCTGGAATGCCCCGTCGTCAATGGCACTGTTCAGCCGCACTACCTCAAGGAGAATTTCCCGGCGCAGAACTTCTTCTGGTTCTTGTTTGTCATGCTGTCGGTTTCCGCGGTGAGCTTCCTGGCTTTGACGCGCCGGCTGACACCGTCGAAAGAAGCCGCACCGCCCCCCTCTGACAATGCGCAGGGGTCATACACAAATATTGAAAGTATGGAAAAATATTGAATTTGACTTTGTAAATTTCCAGGGATGGAAATGGGAATGATAATAGAAAAAAAATTATATTTCCTAGGCTGCAGTCATCTCATCCTGTATAATGGTGAAAAATGCAACTCATTTAGTCCCCCCCCCC